AAAGAGAAAAAAAAATTAAATTCGTATATCTTCAAACATTTCGCCTCGGCGCACAGTTTGAGAATCACTGCCGTAATCTACATATTTTAATGTCAGTACCGCCTTTCACTTCTCTCTCTCTCTCTCTCTCTCTATTTCTTTCTCTATTTCTCTCTCTCTCTCTCTCTCTCTCTCTCTCTCTCTCTCTCTCTATTTCCCCTCTCTCTCCTTTATATCGCACAGCAAGTTCACAATGGGACACATTAAAGGCTGTCTGTGAAACCAGTAGCGACGTGGCTAGACGCCCCCATGCCGGCCCGAAAGTCTAAGGTTCAAATGCGCATCGGGGCGATGCTTTTGTTTTTTTTTAAATTGCCTGTGTTAAGTAACAATAATATAAGAGAAGTTTATCCGAACCAGTTTCAAAAGCCTAATTATAAAAGCATGAAAGAAACATCAACAGGTGTGGCAGAATTAAACAAAGCATTTATTATGAATGTATTATGCACCACAAGTTGGTCGGAAAAACAGTTTATAGGCATTCAGGCAGGCATCCAATTTCATTGGTAGGCTGAAGTTGTGGCTAACACCTCACGGCGTCACGAGACTGTGTGCTTGAGGTTTGATATGAGGACATGAACAGAACCAAATAGTTACCTCATAGCTAAGATCGCTAGTTAGAAACGTCAACAAAAAACAAATCTCCTGTAGGGCTTACAATGAACCCAATCCAGACATATATAAATCGATTATTGGAGTTAGTGTTCTTGTGGAAATGGCTTGGCCACGTTATGAGAATGAATCCTTATATACCTGCCAAAAACAGCTCTATCATGAATACCAGAGGAAAAGAGAAAAAAAGGGGGAGCGCCCAAAAACAGCATGAGACGAACGATGGAAAGTGACTTGAGTGCCGCATCTCTGACATGGAAAACTGCACTGAAGATTGCACAGAACAGGAAAGCATGGAAAGTCCTCTCTGAAGCCTTATGTACCACTAGGCGTACCAAGAACTGATGATGATGATATAATGCAACAGTGATCCTATCATATTCGTCTACCTCAAATACATGCTTATATGTACCTTCTTCACATTACCAACAATATACGTAACTGATTATTGAAGTTGATCAGATTGAGATTGAAGTGTAATAATATCTTTTATTTTCATTGCAAATGTTGTCAGCTGATGCACTGCACTGCTATTCACGTCTCATATTTTCAGCTGAAGATACGCTACTACATAATTACTGTCTACAATGAAAGCCGTATTCTGAAATATGGCTACGTGTTTCTTGGTGACAACTGGCCACCTTTAATCAAGTCAGCAGCCCATTCACCAATCATAATTGTTGGGGCGTTTGTGTTGCCAGAGACCAGCCATGGCATAATGGAAGCGTCGACCACACGAAGTCCGGTTATTCCGTGTACCCTGAAAACAAAAAGCAGAATATGAATCCGCCGAACAGAAAGCATATTTGAATCTCTAGATATCAGCATTATTTGATTATAATCAGGAAAAATATTTAGAAATAGTAAAACATTTGCAAAATGGCTTACCTATTACTGTTTGGTGTTTCTTCACAGGCAGTCAGGTGTGTGTGTATGTGTGTGTATGTAAATGTGTTTTTGTGTATATGTGTGGGAGGGGGTGGCGGGGTGACCGATTGATTAGTATCTACAGCTGCCATAGTGAATGAATCACTCTACGAAAAAGCAGACTTTTCAAAGACGTGTCTCTGTGATCACATAAACAGTGCAACAAAACAAACAAAATTTCAGTTCCTTGAATGAATGGTTTAGCTGGAAGTGCACAGTGGGTATGGACGACATTTTATTTGCTCCCTGGTGGAAGGGTTGTGGCAACGACTAAGCGAACTTTTAATCAGGTTTCAACTGGCACCATTAATATTGAAACTCTTCATTGGCTACCGAGGAAAAACACGGGCCAGGTGCGGGAATGTCCGGAGAGAAATTATGACAATTCTTGATTTATAATTTGATTTTTTCTTCTAGGAATTAACAGATCTTGTTTCACAACAATGTAGGAAATAGAATTAATGTAACATTTTTATCTTAAAGTGAGTGGGAGATGGGGGGGGGGGGGGGAATTGTATTGAGGCATCAGTCGTTATCGCTGCATCTGGAGGCCAAGCATTACTTTATCTCGTCCGTCGCCAGAAACCGCGTTCAGCCATTAGACCATATGTATGGCCGGTCTGTATTGCGGCCCCTGGAAAGAGCCAGAGTAGGGCTTCAAATAACGAAAAATTGCAACCCACAAAGGGATGATAAACACAAAACTTAAAGGTTTTATTCTACACACTTCATTGTATGTTTTAGGAGGATGTAAAAAACAGACACACGGAAAAGTGTTTGTCTGTGAAAGGGGGTCAACAAGTAAACAGTTTCTTCTAATGAATCACTTTGGTAAATGTTCTTTGAAGAAAAGGCCACAAGGAAAAGAAAATGAATACGCCACCTCAAATGCCATAGCTTACAATATGAAGGTCGTACTCTGACATCCCAGTCGCAACCTCTGCCATGTGACTCATTTTATCTTGAACGTCACACAACAAGTTTGATGATTTGAACAACTGATCAACATCATGGCACAAGGATAGAACTCATAAGTGCTACTTTCTACTTTTAACCCAAGCCTGAGTCCGAAGAAACTTAGCGTAGTACATGAACTCCGTAACACCGACGAGGATCCTGAACTACTTTGGGTATATTTTTCACTCCATTTTTTTTCCAGATAGCGCTGTTAGGCTACTCTTTTCGATTATCAACCGCTAAGGGATTTTTTTTAAACGTGCGCAAAAATTACACACGGACATTCGATCTTACTGCCGAGAGACCAGGGTAAATTACTAAAAGTCCACGTAAGTAAATCTCAGCCTTTAAGGAGACGATTCAGACCCCTGACCATACAAGAGAAAAAAAACCTTGTTGTTCGAAAAAGTGTTAACACATTTATCAAATATGTTATTAAAACCCTGTTGACGGAAAGGTGTTGTAAGTATGTGTAATCTGCAAAATATATTGGTATACATAAAAAAATGAATGTATTGCACTGTATGTTATATATATATACACACACAAAAACACACACACATTTGTGTGTGTAAATGCTGAATTAATATGTGTGAGAATACAGCACAACGCAACGCTTTCTTTTCTTAAGAAGCTAATCCTGTTTGTGAACATTTACCGTATCTTCTGGATATGACGGGCCCGCAAACTTTTCAAACGATTCTGATGATACATTAGATTCAATGAGCTGGTGAAGTAGTAGCCTGAACATAATCACATCAGTGACTCAAGAAAAGACTATAGTGAAACTTGACGTGGGGGTTAAAAGATTGCTTGGTAGTCTAAAACTAAACTCAAACGCTACTCAGTTAATGTGATCTTAAATCCCTCGGAACATTACAGAAGAATGGGAAGCTACTAGAAATACGTGTAGACAACATAGACGTATATCAGGTTAGAGTGACAAACGAGACGACAGATTGTGCATTTCTAACAAGAGACTCGTTAGAGTACTCAGTAGGCCAACATCCCTTCTTGTATGTCTACCATCTACTGGTCATGTTGGGCATGAACTTTCAAGGCTCGCATTGGCTTCGTACTCTCAGTCCTTACATCTCACTGGATGATGCGTCGTCTTTGCCATTAGTATTTACCAACAACAGTCCTAGTCTTATTTGAACAGACATAACTGTTTCTGTTTGTGGCATGGCTTTGACAAAGCAATTTGTAATTCCGAGACGCCCGGTTTAAATCCAACTGCTCAAGGTTCGACAGCTGTTGCTGTCGACAAAGGTATTGAGCGCTGATTATCAAGACAACAATGGCAAAATACTAAGCGTAAAATGTCCTTTAAAAAAAAAAAATAAACAGCCAAATTGATGCGGTTGGTTCTGCAGCGTCCCGCAACAACATGAGCAACTAACATATTATTGATTTGTAACCTAATTTGTGAACAATTATAGTAGTTATGAAGCACACCGGGCTGGAGAAATGGTAGAGACATAGAGTCTGTAAGGTGTGCTGTGACGAGAGTGACATTCTCTAAAGGACCTGCTGATAGTTAATAATAATAGTTAAGCATCAAATTTTTCAGCAAAGTAAATTAATTGTTGGTTAAGTTGTGTACACGTTCTAAGTGTACTTGTCCTATTTCTGACTACGAAAGTCAGTTTCATACTGCTGGGACTGGAACACTTTAATAGAAATAATCGTTATGATCACTACAATGTTCCAATGTTTCAACAAGTGCAGTTAGTATCCGGGTGTTCATGCAGAACAGTTCTAATTCAATTTCGGATAATGTACATGTAGTGTTGTGCTTTTATGTCTCTACTTTAATGGTAAAGTTGCCTAATGTCAACACATGCCATTTTTAATTAGAGCAATTTTTATAATATATTTCTGACTACCAACATTCGATTCTTCTTTCATTTTTGAACATGTACAGTCCTAATGGTCGGCGTCTGTAGCTTAAGCGTAGCGAACGCACTTTGTAATGCTGGGGGTGCCAGGTTCGATCCCAACTGCTGGCTATGCGCCTTGCGTTGGTTTCGGCAGTGGTATCGAAAAGTCGACCGTCCAGAACCAATGGCAAACTACTGGACGTAAACTTGCCTAGGAAAACCACAACAGCCAAAAACGACAGGGATGGTTCTGCAACTAACTAACAGTCCTAATGTGTGCACAAGTACAGTAGTTTCTTCCGCACAACTCAAGATGCAGACATTACAGAGTCCACCACGGCTGTTGGGTCTCCACTAGGGCCCATTTTACACGTTCCAACTGGGTGGTAGACAGAAACTGGCCTGTGTTTGATCATGCATTCCCAGTACTCGTGACTGTTGTATGTGTGTTCCTGCAAGCTGATTCAGTTCCGTTCTCTGTGAACTCAGCGCCGATGTCTTGCATAGGTTTAGAGTTTGCAATCTTTTGACATTCCTGGATACCTCGGGACATAGGTGATCATACACGCATTTACTGTTTACCTATACCTAAAATAATCTCTTTATTGAAACTACAATTTTATAAGTATGTTTAAAATTTGCCAGTACTGCTTGTCTCTACTTCTGCGGAATAGGCAGCAGTTGAGCTATTCCGGGGGTTTAAAAGAACAAATGTAGTAGTACACGTGTCACAGTTTACACAAGATAACTCGACAGATACACTGACTAACATGTGGCTTAGTAAGAAGGTGAGTGTATTAGTACACGAATGAATAAACACGCTGCAAACAGTAAGATTTTTGCACAACTACATTCAATTAGAGGGAATTAAATGGTATGATAGAATAACTAATGTAAAGTTTTGGGAGAGAACTAAGCAGGCTCCAGTGCAACAAGAGATTAGGAAAAGACGCTGGCGCTGGATTGGATACACACTGAGAAAACAGGAGAACAGCATAACCATAATGTCTTTGCATTGGAACCCACAGGACCATAGGAATAAAGAAAGGCCAAAAAACACACGGTGAAGAGAGCTGGAGAAAGAAGTTAGATGGGGAGGACATGGGGAGAGCTCCATGCAATGGCGAAGGGTAGAACGACTTGGCGCAAGTTGGTTGAGGGCCTATACTCCCTTTGGGGATAGAAAGGCGGAAGAAGAAGACAATCAACAATGACGGGCAATTGAAAGATACAGCAATATTATCTTCATTATAAATTAGTTACCTCTTATTATGGTTTCTATATCCTCCTGCTTGTTCAGGTAATTAGCTTGGATGATGGGGTAGTCAAAAGGATCGCGGGATGTTAAAGTGATGTTCCCTCGGCTTTCTGGTCTCAGCAGTATAGGAAAACAGCTAAAGCCATAGTTGTCACATATCACACCTGTCGCGTGCCTAATGTAAGGATTTCTCCTTCAGAACCAACAGCACTCAGAGATAATTATGTTGAGTCGTTTGGCTCGTATTGGTCTAAGGGATTCCCCGTGGCCAATATACGCTCAACTTATCTCTGGAGTAGGGCAACTCAAGTATTGGCACTACAAAATATGTCAGTATATGAATTCAATATTTCTAGGCACACTTGGCTGGACACCCCCACTACTTACTAAAGAAAGCCCCCAGGTTATGATAAGTCATTATCATAACCATGTTAACACATATAATGAAGATACATACACACACAACTGCTAAACACTTAAGAAGGTGACATAGAGAAACCTAAGTCAGCCATGAAAATGAATGCATGTAATCAGTATATTATGGATTTACATATAATAATGAAGTGAATTCCAGCTATCAGTGGAAGAATCTCAGCAAATAATGTCTAGATCCCGAGGAAACTATACAGACAGCCGGTCCTGGAGGTGACTATATGTCATCATTGGGAAACATAGGAGCTGTGATGTGAAAAAAAGCACATGAAGCCTCAAACTTAGCTTCCTCTTCCTGTCTATGATGCCTCCCTCCGCTCCGGATGATTCGACTGTCTTTGATTCTAGGAATTCTGCTCCACTGGATCAAGTAGTCAGAGAGTACCTCACCATAGAGGACACAATACTGCACTGGTATTTAGCATGTCTCTATCACCAAGTAGAATACACACTGTCTTTGAGTTACCATAAGCTCTAGCACTTGTAAGCTGTTTGAGGTACAATCTCCCACATGTTGGAGATGTCAGGAACCTTCACAGGTGTTAGCTGGTGGGTAGGTGGTTTATGGTTTATGGGTTTATGGGTGGTTGATGGGTGTTGGTTGGACTGTGAAACTTCTGTCAGCTCCTCACAAAGGATTATCCTGTCAAGAAAATAACTCAGAATTAGTCATCACCAAGAGGGTAACATCTTGACAGGAAAGACAGAACAAGCATCAGTCATCACCCCCATCTGCTTACTCCACCCTGCTCTCCTGTTTCATTCCTCAGAATGTCTCTCCAGACCAAGAGACACAAGTCTCTGCTATTCATCTGTCTGTTTAGTGCAAGAGAAGGCAAGTCAGATATATAGTGGAGATAGATAGAGTGTTCCAACACATATATCACTCTCCCCCCCCCCCCCTTTGCACACAGACACCAGTATTTACTGTCAGTACATTTAATCCTTACACTCCCAAAACTCGTCCTAGCATTCCTTGATCTAGGTCAAACACACTCCATACATTGGTCGACAAAGTCCTGACCTAATTCTGTCCCCATTGTGTATGCACAGATTTCTATAGTTAGTTTAAAAAGTACACACTTGTAAGGGTATTAATTTTACCAGTATGGGTGGTTATAGAGGGCATAAGCTATTTAGTCTGTACAGGAGAAGGTCTACGTTCGAATCCGCTTCTCTAGCGATCAAGAACGGTCGAACTAAGTGTGATCACACAGCCGATACTGATCTCTCTACAGCAGTGACTACTTTACAGACATCATTTTAGGTACTCGTAAACTATAATTAACTTACCCAAGCATATGTAAAAACTGAGACATTCCAGATCGCCTTGAAAAATGAAATGATACAGGCATAGATTGACACGTCTGGACGCTAGGAAGCTGGCAAAGAGAATAGCGTCACTTAGACACTTCAGGCGTTGGTACAAAAAGAAGTCCCTAGTATACATGAGCAAGGAGTAAATCGGTTTCCACGAAACCTCAAATAACTCCCTTAATATATATCAAAATATATACACTTAAAAGTGGAGTTTAGTTAAAGTAACCAGAAAAGGTAGCCATAATAATGTTGTCCAATAAAGGCCTATATATATAGATATAAGGGACTATATCTTTCCGGGCGAGTCCAAGTTTGAATTTTGTGAAAATTTACAGGTAAGTTAGGTTACCAGTCTTACAGACTGATGTGTAATGGTTTATCATTTCACGACAATAGTCGCCCCTGCTCCTGTCAGCTAATTCAGCCATTGTCTACAATTATACATTATTCTTCATAGAATAGAAGCAATACATGTAAATACGACAAAACACGTTGTTTCCGAAATGTAAATAATATAAAAGAAATATAATTAAGACGCATTACTGTTTGAACATATGCGACAAATATTGGTAGTTAACAAGCACTGAAGAGTTCACTTTGGGTGAAGAATGGAAGACTTAAACAGGCTGCTGCAAACACGTTTAGCAAGGGAATTCTTCATGGGCGGAACATCCCTAGAGCGGCGAAATCAACTTATTTATTCAATCATTAGTTCATTCATTCATGTATAAACTCAAATCTGAAATAGAGTGACAGACTAAAACTATTTTTTTAAACTGTGTAAATCATTTTACAAAGCAATACTATGTTTATTTAAAAAAAAACTTTTAGTGATTGAATTAAAGGTTTTATGAACACATTTCATCGCTCTAGTCAATCTATTTTGCAGGTGAAACCGAAGGATTTGGTTTCTGGGACTGATCCGATTGCTGTAATGCCAGTTCTTTACTCGGCATAACTTCTAGGGCGATGAACGTAAGCTGTTGCCGTTTGTCATTCCATACGGTCACCAGCTGTTGCCGTTTGTCATTCCATACGGTCACCAGTTGTTGCCGTTTGTCATTCCATACGGTCACCAGCTGTTGCCGTTTGTCATTCCATACGGTCACCAGTTGTTGCCGTTTGTCATTCCATACGGTCACCAGCTGTTGCCGTTTGTCATTCCATACGGTCACCAGTTGTTGCCGTTTGTCATTCCATACGGTCACCAGCTGTTGTCGTTTGTCATTCCATACGGTCACCAGTTGTTGCCGTTTGTCATTCCATACGGTCACCAGCTGTTGCCGTTTGTCATTCCATACGGTCACCAGTTGTTGCCGTTTGTCATTCCATACGGTCACCAGTTGTTGCCGTTTGTCATTCCATACAGTCACTAGAAACACAATCAAGTCATTGTACTTTCCCAATCATTGTGACAAGGCCATCAAAGTATTTATCTCTTTGGCTTGCTGGATCAGAATCTTACGTTGCTGTTGCTTTCCTTGTTGACAGTGACCAGACTTGATGAAAGACTAGTAATTAAACCTCATTATCAATTATGTCAAATGTTATAAAGGTTAGTTTTGATAGCGTTTTGACACGTGACGCTATTCTCATCTTATGGTGACAACATTTGAAATTAATATTCATTGCCACTTAGTCATGCAAATGTTAGGTTTCCTGCTATTAATACATAACTATCAGTAACTATAAATGCGTTTTGAGCGGTTCTGTACATTTAAAGACAGGTATTCTGACAAAAGATTATCAAAAATGTTTTTAATAAATGGTTAAACATAGAGAATTTCAAGTAAATGCCGCATTTCACTGGATAAAGAATGTTCTGTGCATTCTTTCTTGGTCATTGAAGGCGAGCAGACGAATTCTTTGGGGCTATATAGTTCACCCCGATGTGCAGAAGTAAATCATGAACAATTGGCCCTTTACTGATAACAAGACATAATGCGGAACCTGCAGAAGTTTTGTTTTATAGAGCAATTATGAGAAAACCTTACACTTACACGAAGAGTAATTAAAATATCTGGAAAAAAAGTAACTCACGAAAAGATCTAATGACCCTCTTCTGAGGAAGCTATATACATTTTGTAGGACTTCATGAGAAGGGAAAAACTGAAGTACGTTTAAACAGGAAAATACAAGGAAATAAAGGCCAAGGAAGAACAAGAGGGTAGACGTTAACTCTTTCAAGCCCAATAATTTTACAGACTTGGCCCACATTAATTTCCCTTTACAAAAACGGAACTTCTCAGACAACGCTCACACCATTGCTTGGGCCTCAAAGAGTTAAACAGTTTGGCGTAAAGACAAAGAACACCTGTATCAGAAACGACTAACAGTTCGCATGACAGAAAGTAGTCAACAGCATGACTACTGACGACAAGCAGCATTGACCATAAAAAGATCTCCAGTCATGAAGTCGTTAAATCCGGAAACATCTTTTAGTGATTAATAAACAAGCACACAAACATGTGGTAATACGGGTGCGGTTGGAAGTAGGTCACCAGTAGTTTTAAATTGTTTACCTTTTCTGCATAGTTAAAAATGTACATGCCGTTAACAGATGGCTTGTAGATATTAAAGATAAGCTGCAGATCAGGCCAGTCCTTGTCTTTTGTTTCGTTGGTTGTACTTCTAAATACCATGACTTCCCCGCCAGTGTTTGAACTTAAGGGACCTGTTTTGACCCAAAAACACATTAAAAATGGTATACATTTTAACAACTTCTCGGCAAACTTGTTACATTCCATGTTGACCTGTTACTGTGCCAGTGAAAATCACAGTTATTCACTGCTCCATTTGAAAGCTATTAAAAATGGCCATCAAAGGTAAAACTTCAGAAATTCGCACAATATTAAATGCCCTAGACAGCGTCTAGAAGTGCTAACACTAACAGTGCGCCTCTAGAACTTGATTCGTCATTGGTTAAAACAGTCAACCAAGCCAAACAGGCAGTTACACAGGAAATACTACATAAAGCACATGGTAAGGCAGTTAGAAAACTAACCATCCGTCATTTTATCTTCACGTGCAGTCCAGTCCATAAAAAAAAACTCCGCAGGCGTAGATTAGAGTAATTCAATGTAATATATAGCTCACAGTGTTTCATCAAGCGCTTAGCCCAGTAGCAAACAATAAAATCATGATCCCTAAGTCTAGAAAAGATTAGAATAAGTCACTGAGTCAGTCAAACGTGGACAGAAACAAACAATGTGCCAAGATTCAGCAGATCCTCTGTCTGTCCGTCACACTGGACACAGAAGTACAAGGAATAATTTAATACATTTGTACTTCAGTTCTGCCCCATTCACTACTTCGGACACATTTTAAATTAAATAATTCATTAGGAATCACAGGGCATAACTTTTTTGTTCCCAAAATCACTTTGGCTTCCAGGACGGCCCAACCTTGAGTGTGTACCAGGTACGGTCATGTGAAGTAAAGGTGGCCGGCGTCCAGTGCTGTTTGGTCTATAAAATGTAGATCTAGCCCAATATATTCATTACGCCTAAAGGCGTGGAAAGAGGTTCTTTACTTTTATTCATAGGAAACCTCGACAGTTCATCTTCTAGTGCCTTACCGACTGGCGTAGGCGATCTTGCCCCTCCCTAATCTGTGATCCGCAACTGCGTTTATCAGTTCGTGTGCTGAAACCCCCCTCCCTGCCATGACGAAAGACTGTCTACAATCTTCTGCCGCTGCCTTCGTGTGTCTCTCATTTCCCCACACCTGTCCAGTGATTACAACAAGTCCCGGTTTCCCTCTTCAGATAAGACGACCAACAATACAAAATGATCACTGTCTCTTTCTGATGTTTGTGATAATTTGTATTTTTTTTCCCTTCTAAATATCTGGGTTATTCTTTTTGACTACCCAAGGATTTCTAATGATTCTGCTGTAACGTCACACCACCTCAAGATTTTGTTATTAATTTTCCAGGTTCACAGCCGTATGTTAAAATGGCTCTACATAGCATGCAAGGATTCTTTTCCTGATCTGCAATGACATGATTTTGTTGCTTAACTGGTCTTAATTTTATTAAATACAATTTTTCACTACCCTATTCTGATATTTATCTATGTGGTACATCTTCCTTGGGTGTTTTTTGTGTGTGACTAGATACATAAATTTCTGTACTTGTCCCAAAATAACGCCTTGGGATTTTATTATAACTTTATGCACTGTACTTTTCCTGAAAATCACCATTACGACAGTCTTCCCATTATTCAAACTGAGGCCCATTTTATAATTTCTACCACCACAGGATCTTTTATTTCCTGTAGTTCTTTCTGACTTGTCGATATCAAGACGGTGTCAACAGCATAACGTAGGTTGTTTATATACGACCACAAACACATTTTTTTTCCGCATATTTATAATATATCTTATTAAATACTAGCTGTACCCAGCCAAGCGTTGCTGTAGCCCAGAATGGTGAAATGGAGAGGAAAGAAAATAGCTCTCAGCCAACAGTGTCTGTCATACCCACCCCCTCCCCCTACCCTCGACGCAGTCATATCTCCCTCTCCGAAGGATTGAAAAATCATCACCTGGCGAAATTATTAAAATAGAAATAGTTAAGAAATGAGAACTTTAAAATAATATTTCAAGCTCTGGCAGCTAACTGTGTTTGGCATACCCCCCCCCCCCCACCCCTCTTTTTCAACAATCATATTTCCCTCTCCGAAGGACTGAAAAATCATCACCTGGCGAAATTATTTAAATAGAAATAGTTGAGAAATGAGAACATTAAAATAATATTTTAAGCTCTCTCAGCGAACGGTGTCTGGCATAACCCGCACCCCCCCCCCCCCCGCTCCCCCAATCATATCTCCCCCTCCGAAAGATTGAAAAATCATCACCTGGCGAAGTCATAACTCCCTCTCCGAAAGGCTGAAAAACCATCCATGGCGAAATTATTAAAATTGAAATAGTTAAGAAATGAGAACATTAAAATAGTATTTTAAGCTCTCTTAGCTAACTGTGTCCGGCATACCCCCCACCCCCTCCCCAATCATATCTCCCTCTCCGAAGGATTAACAAATCATCACCTGGCGAAATTATTAAAATAGAAATAGTTAAGAAATGAGAACTTTAAAATAACATTTTAAGCTCTCTTAGCTAACTGTGTTTGGCATACCCCCCCCCCCCCCCCATTCCCCCAATCATATCATCTTCTCCGAGGGATGGGAAAGTCACCGTGTAACGAAATATTGTAACTAAATTGAGCTTTGCATCCGTGTCTACCCAGACGTAAAAGGTAACATTAACTTGTACAGAGAAGTAAATGTAGCCAGTGTAACAGCTACCACATCACCCATCCAGTACCAGTACTACTGCAACCACAACCACCACCACCATCACAACAACAACAACAACAAAAACTGTCACTACATTCTGTGTAGGTCGGTGTAGAAAAGAGGAGTTACGTCATTACGTAACCAGTGATGGAACCCACAGTGAAAAGTGCACTATACTCACGAATAGGGGAGAAAAATAATCCGCACCCGTCATCTCTCCCTCTCCGAAGGAACGATTTTTAACTGACCTTTGCATCCGTGTCCACCCAAACTAAACTGGACTGTAAGCCGTCGTTGTTAACAGTTTCTGTCATCGCCGAATAGTTTATGATCGAGAAGCGTCGTGGAGAGGCTAATTAGGACTTAACTGAAATCGGATGTCTTTGGGCGAAAGGCGCAGATATCGCAGCCCAGCTGTAAAACCCAACACAACGTGGCAACCACCCTTTTAGGGGAAAAAGAACAATTATCACCCAGCGGGAATCGAACACCGGTCACCCGCGTGAAGGATGATATACTTACAACTGTACTATCGACGACTGAAGAATTTAGGTTAGATATCGCAGCAAAGTTGTAAACCACAACAAAACGTGCCAACGGCCCTCTCGAAGATTACCCGTGACATGACCATTGAGCATCACGTCGCCGCTGTCGCAGGCTAGCTGTAAACCCCAAAACCGAAAAAGGCGTAGATATTGTAGCCTAGCCATAAACCACAACACAACGTGCCAGCCGCCCAGTTTAGGGCTAAAAACATTATATCGCCTAGCGGGGAATCGAACGCAGGTCACCTGCATGATAGGCAGAATAGTTAACAACTACGCTACCAAACCTCAAGCAAATAGTGGAAATGAAATTATATAATAATGCAAAGTTCAATAAGAGCTCAGCAGTCAAATATGGCCGATCACATAAAAACAAATCCGGGCCGGCAACGAAACAAATAATGATTTGACCGTTGCTGGAGCTACGTCGTTCGCGGTTTGTGCGATTTTCTGACAAAAAAATCACGCTTGGAGTCAAAGGCAACGTTGTGTGCAAATTTGAAAGCAATCGGCTCAGTAGTTTCCGAGTTTTTAGCTTACATCACCGGAAAATTAACATTTGTATTAATATGAAGATTCACAGCATAATAAAAAACAAATCAGGTACACAACCTTGACCTCGACTGTTAGGTCTAAAATTAATTACAGAAAACAAAACATAAAAACAAATCACATACACATCAGTCCAATAACATCCGATACACATAAAGAAAATCTTGCTTGTTGGAATACAAGTTTAAATTGTGGGGTCTTAAACCTATTTATTTAAGCAGCAATGCAGACAAAGACTGTAGGGCATTATAAATAAGTAAACTAACTAAAATATCCTCTTTTTTGTGTGTGTGCACTGGTTGTAAGATTTTAGTCTTACAGTTTAACTGTTCAATCGACCATAACGTACCAGTCTCCTTCATTTCCTATGTATTCTTACTGCATCTCTTTTAGTCGTTGTTCTCACTGTTCAACACCACCACGGTTGTAAAACGAGCGACCAACACCCAATGACACAAAGTGCCACCATTTCCATTAGGAACACCTGGGGACATGTCCAAGAAACGCGGTTCTACCTATAGGTTGGGTTATATTAGGGCCCCCGACAACTGTCTAAGTTGGGCTTTACAATAGCCAAAAATTGCATTCTATACTGGGACGTCTTTCTTTATTCCGCAATCTGGGCCAAAATGAATTTACACAAATAAGCCGTGATAAAATTATCCAGATTACATTTTTAACACAGTTAGAGTAAAACTAGCAATACATTTTTAACACAATTATAGTAAAACTAGCAATACATTTTTAACACAATTAGAGTAAAACTAGCACAATCACTACTGTCTGTACCTGATCGAAACATGATATACTGCAGCTTGGTCCACCATGTCAGTATTCCAGTCAGAGGAATAGTCAGAGCCTCTTTGATTCTGACTGCCAAATCAAACAGCACATGATCCTGCAGATTCTGACCAACTGGCAGGTCAGCAATTACGGGTATCTGTTAGGAGAAGAAATGTTTTACTATCAAAGTTTAGCATAATTTAAAAATTGTTGATGTTATCTCCCATTATAGTAAATATGTATATAAAATAGCTTGATAAATGTTCTAAGAAGGAACATCAGAGGGTCTTTTTAATAGAAACTTAGTTTCTGAGAGCAACCGTTGTAAGGTCTAGATAACAATCGTATTAGGAGCTTACCATATGTAAATATGTCTAACCGTTGCTGTCTTACGTCCTTTCTTGTCATGTCCGCACTTAGCCATTGTCATAAAACACGCTAACAGTCTACTACACTCACGATGGAACACCTAGTCATGTACAGCTAGTTTATTTGTGTATTTATTTATTTTTTTGGTTATTATTATTATCTGTCGTTCCCCGTCTGGCTTCCGGGCCCCATTGGGAAATAGACAGACTGCCCCCCTCAAAATGGCTTCCGGGTCTCTTCCTTGTGGGGGTGAGATTATAAGATTGGAGCGTTTGGGGGATTACGTGACAACTCAGGAATGTTGAATGTGAAGTCAGACGATCTAAAGTAATAGCTTATGCTGACCATAGAAATGATGATTACTTATGGCCAGGCAGAGAAGCAAGCATTAGAAGACAACAAAACGGTGATTGATTACAGACGATAGCATCAAGTTTCTGTTACCACCGGTTTGATCACATATCAGCCAATCATACAAGAAAGAAAAGACAACACGCCCAGTGTGAGACCTTGTGACTACAATGTTAAATGAATAAAACAAATAAAGTTGACTTCATATTTAAATGGTCATATTTTATATGTTAGATAACCTGTAAGTCTTCCAAATGTTTCCTGGGCCCGATACCAGACAACATGAGTAACTGAGGGGAAGCAAGAACTCCTGCTGACAGAATGATCTCTCTCCGGGCATTCACAGAGTATCGTCTAGAGTCTTTGATCACTTCAACGCTTTCAGCTCTCTTGTTCTGGATATGAATCTGGAAAAAATACCAAAACACATACGACGCTGAGAATTGTTGAAACTCACACACTGGACATGAATAATATAAATGCTTTTCTATATAATCTAACCATATGTTGGGAACTTTTCGCAGGTAGTAAGCATCGTTTAGATATTTTCTCAAGGTTATCCCAGTATGTTGGGAAATGAGCAGGCAGATAGACTGGACAGTTCCGCACCACTTGGTGGTGAATTGATGTATGACAAGCTAGATGTTGTGAGGGCCCTATGGGAGCGAGTGAACAGTGCGGAAGCGCAAATGGATTTTTACGGTCTGTGAAGAATGGTGCTGCAAGGAGTTAGCAGGGGATCTGGCCGACGCTCAACCCTCCAGAGAATAGTGAGAATAATATACAATCAAACAGTTACTGGTGCCATCGGAATTGGAACTCTTCGTTTGCAGCTGCAGATGGGTACGGAGCACCTATAGGATGTCATGAGTGCTATGATATCGATTCCTAATTCAACATTCAACATGTCGAGAAAGTCCGCGGCCGGAACGTCAATTTGTTTTGTGTTGTACACTTTGTTTCTGCTTTCCCATTTCGGTAAGCTGTTTAGTCTCAGTACACTGGATTAATTTTGGTATTAGCTTGACTGCAGTCACCCCTATTTTCACCATTTTGTATGTGTTCTTGAATCGTATAAGGTGTCACTAAATCATTGCTGCTAGTTTAAATTACTGTTGTGTTAATTTAAATGAATGTTGTATTATTTAAGTAATGCTTACTCTAGTAACGTGTGCTCTCACCGCCACATGCAGGTTGGTTCTGTTGAGAACCGGGTGGAGAAATGCACGACTAGCACTCATTCGTTCCCCATTTAACATTGTCACATGTGAATGGCTGATTCCTGCAAAAATAAAAAAGTAAAAACAAGCTTATGTCGAGGTATCACTTTGAGAGGTTCTGACAGTTTATAATGTATAAACAGGGTTACCATGACCACAGTCAGTACAGGTGGTCAACCCACAAAGCATTTACGTCTACGACCATGAGCTCTCGAATAGCAGACAATCTTTCCCCAGATTCAGAACTAAACAGACGAACAGGAAAGGCTGCTGCAATGCTTTCCAATCGCTTGGCACAAGTCTGGTCAAACTAAAAGCCTTCTGAAGCGACTACAATTAAAGACCGAATGCTTTCCAAATGCGCAGGGTATCATATTGGCCCGCACGGAAAGTGACAATATTAAAACTGCTTTAACTGCTTTAGTCAACAACAAAAAATAAAAACAAAAATCAATAGCCACAAAAGCCAACCAACCATATAAAAGTCACACACACACACACACACACACACAAAAAACCAGAAACAAGAAAAACCCAGCCAATCAAGATAAGGGAAAGCTCTTCTAGTAGAAGAAGTATGACACTGTGTGGAGAAAGCCGAAAGGAGTTTGGACCGTTGACGTACCTTCTTTCACCTAGGAAAACCTCTAAAATAGGCACCTTTAATGTTAAGGTAAATATAGTCAACCAAGTGGATTAATCAAAAATAGTTAAGTAGAGGTATTCACCAAAGTTGTAGATCAAATGGACAGATAGACTGAATATTTGCAATACTTCTAAACAAAAAGAAGAAAAACAAAACATGGAGAAGTGAGCTAGAGAGTGAAGTTAAAAAGACTGGGAGGACATGTGGAGAGCTGCCAGCCATAGCAAAGGATAGAACGAGGGCGTGAAGTGGTTGAGGGCATATGCTCCATTGGGGATAGACAGACAGAAGAAGAAGAGATTTCCACATGCGCTGTGTCAGACGGATCCTTGGTACATCATGTTGAGACTTTGTCCCCGGTGAATGTGTAATCGAAATTGCAAGTATGCCAACAATCTTACATTCAACTAAAACAACGACGTCTGCGTTGGCTGGGACATGTCTCTCGCATCGAGAACAGTCGTATTCCAAAGGAACATCTATATAGTGAACTGGTAACAGTGACAGGACATGCAGGAAGACCAAAGGTACGATATAAAATCATATGCAAACGCGACCTGAAAGATATGATCTTTGACACAGACACTTGGGAGAGATCAACTGCAGGACGTCTCCCTTGGTGGCAGACAGGGAGAGGCCGTCTTTGAGAAATACATAAACACTAAATAACAGCATGTGAGATAAATTATATTAGAAATACTGCTGGAAAAAAACAAGAAGTGACAGTCAAAAACGAAGACCTGAAAAGAATTTGAAAAAAAACAAAAACAAAAACAATAGAAACAGTTCTGGTAAATAACTTCAAAGAACTGCAAACGAATCAAATAGTTTGGTCATCGGGTCAGCTAGATGAGAACAGGGGGCTACAGGGAAAGAAGCTGACCAAGAAAGATATGGTGAAGCGAGTGAAAGAGACACTATAGAAACGTACGAACACAAGCTACACAGCTAACAGTAGACGAGATGTAACTCCTCTCTGCGACACTTCATGGCATAATAAGTAGGACAGAAGACGAGATGTAACTCCTCCCTGCGATACTTCATGGCATAATAAGTAGGACAGAAGACGAGATGTAACTCCTCTCTGCGACACTTTATGGTATAGGAAGTAGGACAGAAGACTAGATGTAACTCCTCTCTGCGACACTTCATGGTATAGGAAGTAGGACAGAAGACGAGATGTAACTCCTCTCTGCGACACTTCATGGCATAATAAGTAGGACAGAAGACGAGATGTAACTCCTCTCTGCGACACTTCATGGCAAAGGAAGGAGGACAGAAGACGAGATGTAACTCCTCTCTGCGACACTTCATGGCATTGGAAGAAGGACAGAAGACGAGAAGTAACTCCTCTCTGTGACACTTCATAGCATAGGAAGTAGGACAGAAAACGAGATGTAAGTCCTTTCTGTGACACTTCATGGCATAGGAATAAGGAGGACAGAAGACGAGATGTAACTCCTCTCTGCGACACTTCATGACATAGGAAGTAGGACAGAAAACGAGATGTAACTCCTCTCTGCGACACTTCATGGCATAAGAAGTAGGACTGAAGACGAGATGTAACTCCTCTCTGCGACACTTCATGGCATAGGAAGTAGGACAGAAGACGAGATGTAACTCCTCTCTGTGACACTTCATGGCATAGGAAGTAGGACAGAAGACGAGATGTAACTCCTCTCTGTGACACTTTATGACATAGGAAGTAGGACAGAAGACGAGATGTAACTCCTCTCTGCGACACTTCATGGCATAGGAAGTAGGACAGAAGACGAGATGTAACTCCTCTCTGTGACACTTAGTGGCATAGGAAGTAGGACAGAAGACGAGATATAACTCCTCTCTGCGACACTTCATGACATAGGAAGTAGGGCAGAAGACGAGATGTAACTCCTCTCTGCGACACTTCATGACATAGGAAGTAGGACAGAAGACGAGATGTAACTCCTCTCTGTGACACTTCATTGCATAGGAAGTAGGACAGAAGACTAGATGTAAGTCCTCTCTGCGACACTTCATGGCATGGGAAGTAAGTAGGACAGAAGACGAGATGTAACTCCTCTCTGTGACACTTCATTGCATAGGAAGTAGGACAGAAGACTAGATGTAAGTCCTCTCTGCGACACTTCATGGCATGGGAAGTAAGTAGGACAGAAGACGAGATGTAACTCCTCTCTGCGACACTTCATGACATATGAAGTAGGACAGAAGACGAGATGTAACTCCTCTCTGCGACACTTCATGGCATAAGAAGTAGGACAGAAGACGAGATGTAACTCCTCTCTGTGAAACTTCATGGCATAGGAAGTAGGACAGAAGACGAGATGTAACTCCTCTCTGTGACACTTTATGACATGCGAAGTAGGACAGAAGACGAGATGTAAGTCCTCTCTGCGACACTTTATTTCATAGGAAGTAAGTAGGACATTAGACGAGATGTAACTCCTGTCTGCGACACTTCATGGCATAAGAAGTAGGACAGAAGACGAGATGTAACTCCTGTCTGCGACACTTCATGGCATAAGAAGTAGGACAGAAGACGAGATGTAACTCCTCTCTGCGACACTTCATGGCATAAGAAGTAGGACAGAAGACGAGATGTAACTCCTGTCTGCGACACTTCATGGCATAGGAAGTAGGACAGAAGACGAGATGTAACTCCTCTCTGTGACACTTTATGACATAGGAAGTAGGACAGAAGACGAGATGTAACTCCTCTCTGCGACACTTCATGGCATAGGAAGTAGGACAGAAGACGAGGATGATCACAGTTAGAGGCAAATGACAGAACGCCCCTCCCTTCCCTCCCCCAACAAATATACATAAGCACTAAAACACATACACTTGTTTGCACGTTTATGGGTGAGTTTGTGTGTGTGTGTCTATGTGCGCGCTCTCCTTTTACCAGAACCTCTACGGGAAGCACAGTAGTAAAATAGCATCCAACTAGGTGTGTCGTAAGAGGCTAATAATGTCAGGGTTAGAACTGAGCTGTATATGTCATTTTGCGAAACACTATATCTACAGAAACCAGTCAACTTTTAATTAGTTGAATAAAGAAACAAGTATTTATCATCCAGCAAAGATGTTCTAGCGCGTGTGGAGGTGGGGTAGGGTGTGGGATATGGTGTGGGGTATGGGGTGGGGTAGGTTGTGGGGCTGACACACTCTTCTGAATGAAACAATAATTATGAAGCAGCACTTCGAAACAGAGAACGTTGAAAGGGGTCTGACTTGCATCCGTCCACCCCGGAATTAAAGAATTGGGGGAATGTGATGGACACTGTGTGGGCTGCATTCAGTGTACAATGGTAACAAGATGTCGAGCTAACTGGTTGATAGAAGGAAGGAAGAACGAACGAACTTTATTTTCAAAGGGTCACAAATTAGTTACGCAGGCCTGTCTTACATTCGTTCCTTCCAAACTCCCATCTTTGACACAGCAGTTGTGTTTCATCAATAGAGCATGTTATGTTCATGTAGTAATATGCATATTATGAAAATCAAGTCAAAACAGGTAGACGGCTCATTATCACAGATTCACCAGACGGCACATTATCTACCTTCCATAGTTTCTTCATTGTAGTCAACATTGTAAGGATATCCAGCTGCCTGGCCGGCCTCGATGAGTTTGTTGCTCAGCGGTACAGTGTTCATCAAGCTGACTGCCAGGGGACCCTTATACCCGTGGTATGCTGACAGACACAACAAGTACAATTATGATAATATATCTTGAGAAAATAAAGTAAACAGGACTGCTTATTGGGTCTTTATGGGAAGCGTCGAGCGGGGTTGGGGTAGAGAGGAGCAACCTAATATTACATTATCATTATTGTAATGGATCAGACAATAGTGAAATGTTGAGACGCCCTCTAGTGCAAATTCCGCACCTCGTTGATCGATCGTAATTTAGAAATTCAACAGAATGTGCTGAATTAACCTTAGCCTTAATAAAATATTTCATTTTTAAAAAGCCAGTCTACAGACATTTTTAGAAAAAAATGTAATCCATTATAGATACATTGTCATCAATGTTAAAAAAGGCAGTTTCGTTTGCAAAAATACGCTGCTTGTCACCTTTAGGAGAAAATAGGAACTCTTTTGCAAAGCTCATATAACTAACCAAAATGAAAGAAATTTTGACCAAACCTTAGATATAATACGACTGAAAACTGCTACAGGCGCCAAAACAAGATGACAATGGGTAAAAGCTGTGGTTAAAAACCAATAAAAAGAAAAGATCAAATGGTTTTGACATGTATCAAAACTGCCAACAAATAGAGCACCACAGAAAGCTGTCATTTAGACACAACGGAAGAAGACCTGGAGTTGCAGAAAAAAAATGGATAGATAGATAGATAGATAGATAGATAGATAGATAGATAGATAGATAGATAGATAGATAGATAGATAGATAGATAGATAGATAGACAGACATAGATAGATAGACAGATAGATAGATAGATAGATAGATAGATAGATAGATAGATAGATAGATAGATAGATAGATAGATAGATAGAATAGATAGATAGATAGATAGATAGATAGATAGATAGATAGATAGATAGATAGATAGATAGATAGATAGATAGATAGATAGATAGATAGATAGATAGATAGATAGATAGATAGATAGATAGATAGATAGATAGATAGATAGATAGATAGATAGATAGATAGATTAGATAGATAGATTAGATAGACAGATTAGATAGACAGACAGACAGACAGACAGACAGACAGACAGACAGACAGACAGACAGAAGACAGACAGACAGACAGACAGACAGACAGACAGACAGACAGACAGACAGATAGACAGACAGATAGATAGATAGATAGATAGATAGATAGATAGATAGATAGATAGATAGATAGATAGATAGATAGATAGATAGATAGATAGATAGATAGATAGATAGATAGATAGATAGATAGATAGATAGATAGATAGATAGATAGCTAGCTAGCTAGCTAGATAGATAGATAGATAGATAGATAGATAGATAGCTAGATAGATAGATAGATAGATAGATAGATAGATAGATAGATAGATAGATAGATAGATAGATAGATAGATAGATAGATAGATAGATAGATAGATAGATAGATAGATAGATAGATAGATAGATAGATAGATAGATAGATAGATAGATAGATAGATAGATAGATAGATAGATAGATAGATAGATAGATAGATAGATAGATAGATAGATAGATAGATAGATAGATAGATAGATAGATAGATAGATAGATAGATAGATAGATAGATAGATAGATAGATAGATAGATAGATAGATAGATAGATAGATAGATAGATAGATAGATAGATAGAATGTCCGAATCCCTGGATTGCAGCTAGATACCAATGTCTGCGTAGAACGTATCAAGGATCAAGGCTCGCGGGAGATGCTTTCACAAACCGGATGCTGGGGATGGAAACAGACGACTATTGTATCCTGTATTCTTATTACCATCTGATGAGCATGGAGATTTCTATGCTGACACACATATTTCAACAAGGCAAAGGGATTATTTTTTTAAATAAAAGTTGAAATAAGCGTGACCTTACAAGAATTCTGAAGCTCGGGAATCTTCATATCCTCTGATTTCTTGAAGTAAGGTAGAAGGTTGTTGTAGCTCCAGCGCTGGTCCTTGGTGTACTCAGCCCAGCGATCGTAGTCATGTCTGGAGCCTCGCACGTACACCATGCCATTGATGCTGCTAGTTCCCCCAAGAACTCGGCCACGGGGCCAGTAGGAACGCTACAGAATACATAACAACACATTACAAAACAAATGATAAAATTCTAAAAATGACAGGTACTACGCTAGTCTTGTTATGTTTACTGTTTATGTCCATTTTAAAAGTTTTACCAAACATTGTTGGTTCGGGCGGAAGTTGAAGCCTTAATTCTTGAGAATTCTGCTGATGGATCGATCCGTAGTTCGACAGTGCCAAGACACGCTGAGGGGCAAACTGAAGAAGGGATCTGAGAGCTTAGAACTGGTCCGATGTATGATAAGAATATTCTAATATTTTAAAAACGTTGCTTTATGATGAATTTTTTTTTAAATAATTCTTCCGGTGTTACGAATACTGGCGTTGGCGAATATTAAAGATTTCTACTTTTATTCGGTCTAGTATCATTCAACTTATTATCAGGTGTAACATTTTGGATATTATGTTCATAATTACATATCAACATCTCATTTAGCTAGTTAGTTTGTCTTTCATCTTGCGTCTATACTGGTCCATAAGGCAAAGGTCTTTGTTCTGCATGTCTGGTGGTTCGTGGCCACCTGCTTTTGGGTCTTGTGTGTTAATATGCCACATGGTTAAGCATTCCCTGGTGATGGTTCAACGTAGTCTCTCTTGGTCTTCCCCGTGCCTGTGATTATACTAGAGTTTGGTGAAGAAGACTTGTCTTATCCATTTTCAGTGCATGGCCGATGTAGTTCTAGTGGTGGCTCTTTCTTATGAAATGTGATACTTTATCCTGCTTGGTCTCTTGTCTTATTTGCGTACTGGATCTAAAATATGTCCAGTGGAGATTTAGTATTCTTCTAAAACAACAGATAATTTACTTTCATATTTTTTCGATTGCATATGGAATATATATTAAAATTGTATCTAAATCATAAAAAAAAACTATTAAGTGGGTCTTCAGTGTAATCAGTTTCCTTTTTTTCTCCCCCTTCTCCTTCCCCTCCCCGTCCTCATCTTCTTCATCTTTTTATTCTCTTTTCCTCTTCTTCTTCTTCTTCTTCTTCTTCTTCTTCTCTTCTCCTTCTTCTTCTTCTTCTTCTTCTTCTTCTTCTTCTTCTTCTTCTTCTTCTTCTTCTTCTTCTTCTTCTTCTTCTTCTTCTTCTTCTTCTTCTTCTTCTTCTTCTTCTTCTTCTTCTTTTTCTTCTTCTTCTTCTTCTTCTTCTTCTTCTTCTTCTTCTTCTTCTTCTTCTTCTTCTTCTTATTCTTCTTTTTCCTCCTCTTCTTCTTCTTCTTCTTCTTCTTCTTTCTTCTTCTTCTTCTTCTTCTTCTTCTTCTTCTTCTTCTTCTTCTTCTTCTTCTTCTTCTTTCTTTCTTCTTCTTCTTCTTCTTCTTCTTCTTCTTCTTCTTTCTTCTTCTTCTTCTTCTTCTTCTTCTTCTTCTTCTTCTTTCTTCTTCTTCTTCTTCTTCTTCTTCTTCTTCTTCTTCTTCTTCTTCTTCTTCTTCTTCTTCTTCTTCTTCTTCTTCTTCTTCTTCTTCTTCTTCTTCTTCTTCTTCTTCTTCTTCTTTCTTTCTTCTTCTTCTTCTTCTTCTTCTTTTTCTTCTTCTTCTTCTTCTTCTTCTTCTTCTTCTTTCTTCTTCTTCTCTTCTTCTTCTTCTTCTTCTTCTTCTTCTTCTTCTTCTTCTTTTTCTTTCTTCTTCTTCTTCTTCTTCTTCTTCTTCTTCTTCTTCTTCTTCTTCTTCTTCTTCTTCTTCTTCTTCTTATTCTTATTCTTCTTCTTCCTCTTCTCTTCTTCTTCTTCTTCTTCTTCTTCTTCTTCTTCTTCTTCTTCTTCTTCTTCTTCTTCTTCTTCTACTTCTTCTTTTTCTTCGTTTCTTTCTTCGAATTGTCACTAAGACATTTTGGAAGAATGTGCTTGGTAATCTTAGTTTTAGCTTCCTAGCCAGCAGCTCACCCCTTAGCTGTTCCGCTCTTGTGTTAACGAAAAACAAACAGCATGTCCATCACTGTCGCTTGTGGAAAAAACTGACAGAGAACTCATCTCAACATATCCACTAGCAAGCACACGCATTAAAAGCATAAGGCAGCCATCAGAAGTGCTAGCACAAACAGTTTGACATTAGAAATGTAGTTCATCATAGACGTGAGCAGCAGTTACAAACAGGTCACCAATTCTGTGGCAAAAGGCTACTCACCATTTTCTGAATCTACAGTTCACAACATCACGCTGGTCACAGTCGAAACACTTTTCTAACGAAATCTGCAACTGAAAAGCTGGGCGACAAAATTCTATAATTTTATTCTTCAAATGGAGGAAAATGCAACGGCCACCGTCAGTCAGAAGAAAAAATTTGCAACGTCTAAAAATAGTGACCGTGCCTAACCTCCATTCTGACTGGAAGTGGGGAGAATGGATTATCTACTGTGTTCTTTGTAAGCTGTTCTTTATTTCTTTAAGATTTCATCCTTTGCGCAGGCTAATCATTGCCCTGTATTCATCACATTTGTTCAACGTGGTTCTGTGTGGTATTTGGCATCAATGCATTACCTTCAGATGGCCAAACTATTGCACTGCGAGTACTTTCTCAAAGCTCTCAGACCAGTTTATCCTGGCCACGAATAAACAAAAACATGTGCACGCTGCCAGATAATAAAGATGCTAGACTTACAGCATCTTTGAGGCCATCCATGAAGCCAGGCTGAGGCTCTGTCTCGAACAACCAGTCATTGCGGCTTCTGTAATTGAGGAAACCCAGGCCAGGAACGATAATTGATGGAAGATGATCGTCATAGTCGCCAGCTTCTAGCAGCAAGACTGACGTCCCTTGGTCTTCTGACAAACGACTTGCTACAACACTTCCTGCCGACCCTCCACCAACTGATGAAAAATGCGTGTATATTTCCACTTTTATAAATAGATGTATAGCAGTGTCAATAAAAGGATAGACTGATAGGTAAGCATAGTGAAATACACTTCTTCTTCTTCAGCATTCCGAGCGCTTGGGGTTCATTGCTAAAAGGTATCACCCGCCTTCATTCATCTCTCTGGTTTACCTTCGCTTTCCAGGTGGTGACACCAAGTGTTTTCAGGTCTGTCTGGACATTACCTCTGCATCTTCTTCTTTGACTGCCTCGTGGTCTACGACCATTTATCTCCCTTGCGTATACAGTTTTCACTTTTCTGTCATCTGGCATTCTCTCAATATGCCGCAACCATTTCAGTCTATTAGCGCCCATGATGCCAGTGGCCAGTGGTGAGTTAAACAGACTAAGAATTTCGTTATTGCTTCTCATCTTTAGTTTACGCTGTCGCATCTTAGATGGGTCCAACGATTCGTCGAAACACTGGTTTTGAAAACCTATAGTTTTCGAAACCAGGAAGAAGGGGCAGGGAAAATACACACGTGCAATAAATAAACATGTTGTCAAGAACTATGTTTGTTCTTTTATTATTTTTTTTAAAAATGCATACAATAAATTAATAATTGTTACAAATTTTATTGTAAAAAATTTGGAATAATTCAAAAACTTTAGCCACATTAAAAGGCACTTTCAAAAAACCATACTGGAGGGAAAGGTCGAATGCAATAGAGCAATAGGTAGGCAACGATACAAGTGGGAGGACAACATCAAGAGATGGACGGGCAGCAGTCTGAAAGAGCAAACAACCAAGAAAAGAGACAACGTGTTGGAGATCCATTGCAGTCAACCTTTACTGTGAAGACGGCACCTGACTGATTGGGAAAATTGTATACATAAAGAAGCTGCTTGCTCTCCCCAGTCCAAAAATTAGATTTACTCCAAATTAAATGTCATTTTTTTTTTAAAATGTTTTTTTTTTTTTTCAAAATTTGTGGAGTTCATTTTAACTGTAATTATGTGTATTTCAATGAACAATAGCTAGTACATTCAAATATACATAAATCTACCATTTATGAACAGTAGGGAACCAAATGTGGACAAACCCCGAAACCTCTTCTTTTACCATCAAGGCTAAGAGAAAGATCAGATCATTTAGGATGTTTGCCTGGTTGAGATTTCCTCTGTATACTGTCTACTTGTGAAGTCTCGTCTGCTGACTTATAATCGTAATTAGCCTCTTAGGCGGTAGTATTGAAGACAACCTCATAATAGCAGAGAGAACGAGGGTGAGATGAGACCACAGTGGAATGGTCTATGAAAGTGGCTCCCAAGCTTCCAAATGCCCCGAGCCTTTAATACAGTTTCCTCATGTTGTGGCGAACCCCAGACAATTATTTTCCTTCATAACTTTAATGAAAAGGTTTTTTCCGATGGTCTTAGGTGACCACTGTGAAAGGGTCGTTGGACCCAAAGAAGGGTCACGACCGGCAGGTTGAGAACAGCTGGTCTATAAGAAACACTTAAATGACTAAACTGGCAACACAGTTTCATATAAAATCCTAGGGGACTGAACTGCTCACACAGTTTTTCTCTATAAACTCCAGTTACGGCCCTTGGAATACACCTAGGGTATTTATTTTCCTGTCCCAAGTGTCTCGTCAGTCTACTGACAAAACATCGACATGGCTGCTTCGAGATACTAAGCTAAGGGATTTTGTGTATTTGTGTGGTATTGTTTGATTTATGTATGTGCTGACGAAGGCTCTATAGTCGCAACTTTGACGTTTGTTGGTGTTTGTTATATTGTGAAGCTTGCTGATATACTTTCGTCCAGTTTTATATCCTTTCTCAAAATTGCATTGTCGAAATTTGTATTTAGAGTAAACATACCACAAATAAATCTTGTTTTCCTGATGGTTACTCTCAGTGTACATTTCCCTACCTGGGAAGCAATAATTCCATGACTCTTGCTACTGCATAGTTCCACACCTCCCACCCCGCTACCCTCACCCCCTCCCCCCTACTGTTTTTGCTTAGCCTCTAAAAGTCCACGGTACTGAAAGAGTAGCAGTTGTATATTAGATAGCTTTGTGGATTTAAACCACTTAGTAGTCTATTGCCTAAGCCATTCAATCATGATTGTGTCGCCGCAGAATGAATATATGGGAAACTATCAGTATACATATTCAGTTTCAACATGCAATTTGGTAACCGACTTACAGAAATTCCCACAATAAACACAAAACGATGACGTCAGTTCAACGATTTGTTTCTGAAAGGTGGAGTTTAGAAAGAAGGAGTGACAGGTTGTAGTAAATTTATATTGCAGTTTTACTTGAAAAGAAACTAATTAGTTGCAGTTTATACTATGGATATTTTTTTCCCAAATCTGCTTCTGGATCATGGTTATCTTCGAAATACCATGCTCGGGCTTATTTTAGGAAAGTGTCGTGAGAAAATCTTGACTTAAAGTTAGATTTTGAATCTAATATACGAATGTTGCCTGTTTGGATGCCATGATTTGCTTCATTAATAGCGTTATTACTTTGTATTTAGCATCAACATGCCAAAGAAATCTTGCTGGCGTTATCTTACAGCGAAAGATGTTATCTTACAACGGAAGGTATTATCTTATAACGGAAGGTGTTATCTCACGACGGAAGGTGTTATTAGCAACGGACTGTGTTATCTCACAACGGACGATGTTTATCTTGCAAGGGAAAGTGTTATTTTACAACGGAAGATGTTTTCTTAAAGACATACATTAAAAGAATCCTCTCAGAATGTAATCATCCCCGTCAAGGTAATTCCTCATGTCAGGTTGATACTTGTATTATCCAAGACCATTTTTTTTTCAAGTCATAATAATTTCGACGGCAGCCATAGCGGCATTTGAACCCAAGCTAACAAAACTACAGATTAAGAATACCTCAGACGGCCTTATACAGTTTTAGAACATATATTGAAGACCTCACATCTGCCTCAGGATTATCATTTCTATGTCAAAGTCACCAACACTAAATCATCTGAGCACCACTAGCAACTGATATTAAATAATTAATTAAATAGGCAGCTGGTTAAGAGGCAATGTGACTTCCGAGTGTCCTTGCATACTGAAAGGGCGGTTACATAAATTTAGGAAAGTAGAGGCAATTAAGACATCCAGCACGCTTTTTGTAAACAAGAAGATCACGTTATCAGTCTAAGGCATCCAAGGTGATGACATGGGTAATCTCGGTCTTTCTCTGGTAGGATGTACTTGTTAACAAGCGTCTTTGCAATTTATCTATTACAGTGGAAGGATTATGTTCTATGCTTAGTAATAGGTTGCTTTTTGTTCTATGCTTAGTAATGAGTTTCTATATGTTCTATGCTTAGTAATATGTTGCTATATGTTCTATGCTTAGTAATAGGTTGCTTTCGACCCAGCCTAAAATGCTTAGTATGGGTTGTCCTGGGATATGTAAAGACAGCCGGCGTAATGCTATGTTACCCACAGAGTGTTCTGGTCTGTAAAAATATAGGACGCTATATGTTCTCTATGCTTATGCCCGATGCTTATGTTCTATGCTTAGTAATACTTTACTATATGTTCTATGCTTAGTAATATATCGCTTTATGTTCTATGCTTAATAATATGTTGCTTTGTGTTCTATGCTTAGTAATATGTTGCTAAATGTTCTGTAAAAATGGACCTAGCGAGATACAGTCAAAAAAATATCGAAAAAAAAATTGTGCAGTACATTTTAAGTAAGTAAGTGAAATAATAAATTATTCTGTACACTTTATGTGTGTGCTTCTTGTAAATTATTGCATACACTAGTTGAAAGAAAAGATGTCCCATTTATTGTCTGGCTATTAAATAATGAAAGTAATTCTAGTATTTGACTTAACGAGTTTTGAGAACAACTGATGTAACCTTTGACAGGAGGACTTCAAGCCCCATTTCGCTAATTCAGCTGGGTACCTCACTATGTCTAAATCCATCCCTCGTTAAATATAATAATATGAAACGCAGCAACATTTCTTAAAATTACAAACGAACAGAAAAAATACTTTCGGTCTTTAATATCTTCACAAGGAGAGGGTAAGCTACGGTGGGGTGGGGGGCGGTAGGGGGAGGTCTAATGAAAACCATAAACGTGTGTGTGTGTGTGTGTGTGTGTGTGTGTGTGTGTGTGTGTGTGTGTGTTGTGTTCTGAAAAACATAAAACCAACTATATCATTTTTGTTATGTAGACACCATTGCCTTCAATGCAGGTCTCTAAGTGCCAATAAAGTGTTCAGATCCCTGCATTACCAAAAAAAAAAATAAATTGTCACATATGAAACCATACATGCACCACGTATCTCTTCATCTAGCCAAAATTAGAAACTGGTATCCATCTCTCGCAGTTGCTTGCATCAATCGGAACGGCAGAGATCAGAAGGATATCGAAGATTCTTTCGCCTAGGAAATGTAAGTATGCGTGGTAACAAGCAGGCTGATGGACTAGATGTTGCCGCTTCTCTGGGCCTTGAACTGCTTCATGATGACACTGGCACGGTGAGGATTCTTGGGAACAATGCAGTAGAACTGACAGAGTTCATAAATGAAGGAACTGATTCAGCTGGGGAAGAGAGCCAAGGATCATTAGGATTTTATACGGGAGTGACAACAATCAGTTTCCGTCTGGCACCATGCGTGTAGAAACTGTGTCTTTTGCTGCTGTTATTATTGTTTTTGATGTTGCTGCAATTGAGGCACGGCGCGAAACAGATAATGATCCAAATCAACTGCTGTCAGTTCAGGATTCAGTCGTTCATTCATTAATTCAATCATGGTAAATTTGAGGATGTGAGACTAGTTTACAAGAACTGTCCGAAAACGTGAACAGAAAGACTTTGCAATAATCACACTGATGGCAATTCATTTGCTGTTGAAGCGTAAATTTTTTTTTTTTTTTAAATGAAACTTATCAGTGAAACAATTTTTGTCATTTCCTTGTGCTATCTCATTCCAGCACGAAATAAAATTGTGAAAGCAAAGCGTATACAAGAGGTAATCTAGGATTACAAATGAAGAAAGGAGCACTGAAAAGCGGTGCAACTTTCGAAATAAAAAATAGAAATGCATACGTAACTTTTGTGAATGTCTTCCAAAAGGCGTCAACTTACCAACAATGTAGTCATATGTTGCATTAAGTTTTTCTGCCAGGTTAGGAGGATTTAGTGGATCATCAAGAAGCCATAGCCGAACTGCAATGGCGGTTAAAATGACAGCCCCACTGTTTACTCCTGGAGACATAATGAGGACGATGCACTGGGGCCTGAAGATAAAGGCAAGTCAGACTCGCTATTCTACAAGCGCATCTAAACGATTTCCTTTTCCCCCCAACATTTTAAACTACTATCAGCGCTTGTTGGTTCTCACGAGACTTCTGTAGGCCCCGCTAAATTAGTCATCGATTAATTGACTGTGAAGCGAGTTTAAACACTCGCCGAGTTTCCTCTAAATTTATTTGTGGTAGCTAATAACTTCCATGGCGTTTGCTATTAGTTCGGTGATCTCTATTTTAACTAGGTCAGTTAGTGTTACCTTATTTTACTCTACATTAAAAAGTTATTGTCTATGGTAATAACTGCTTAAAGTCTGAAATGGTTAATATAGCGACGCCATGTGTCAGCAGGAGTGTAGGGCATACACAAATCTAAAAGGACTGTATAGAACACAGATAATTCAGAAACGAACAGCGTGAAACTAAACATTTGGAGAGTTCATTAGGACTGAATAGGTAAAAAAAATGTTTTCTAAAAACTCACTCAGTGTTGGCTCAACGTTTATCCGTAAGACATTAGGGTATGTCATCATCGTTAAGAATGTGTTTGCCATTGCAAGTATAATATGTAAGTTGCATTGAGAAGAACAGAAGTGCTATATAGAGGCTATTATGACGTAAGGCTGTCACATAAGTCAAGAACTAGACAAGTTGGAAAAAAAAAAAAAAACAGTAATTTATGGCAGTAAAAATGTGGTTTCTAAGACAAATGCAAATAATCTGACGGAAAGAAAAACAAACCAGCAGTCCTGCAAGAGAGGGACACAACTCTACACTGATCAGGAAGATTAGACATTGACAGTCAAGATTTTTAAAATATTATTTATGGAAAAAAATACTGTAATTGAGTTTCTCATTATTTGCAGCACTAGAAAAACACCTCATGAATAAAAGATTATCTAAATCACGGATTTTTCTTTCAAATACCACGGACTTCATCTAGATTGCCACCGAATTAACACGAAAAATGAGGGTCCACTTCCTCATTAAAAAAAAAAATGTCGGTCATGGAACTTTAAGCACTTCCCACAAATCATCGACACCATAGATGACATCATGGCGAAAAAAGAATCGATTGTTTTAGAAATGCAGACGATCGCCGATCAACTGTAACTCTCAAAAGCAGATGGATATGGGCGTTCACTGATATGTCCGCTGGTGCCTCACCTGCAGTGCTTTGTGTAGGTCATACTTAAATGATAAATTATTGTATTTCATTTTGTCGATTCTTTTGATGTACATATCGCAAATGTTTACGACCGATAAGAATGTATTGATAATTTAAAGCTCAAGACTAATAATGACAAGAAGGTTTTGCCGAGTTCACGAGTGCTCTTGATTGATTGCACCACTTGTCTGGACTTGATGTTGGAAAAAAAACAATAATAAACTGGGACTCTTCAAAATGACCTGAGGGCCTTCTTTATAATTGAGTCCGTTGTTTGTGTGCGGTTTTCAAATGACTATCTTGATGCGGCGTGTTGGTACGCCCTGACCATTTCCTGTTGGTGAGTTTCTTATGCACTAGCTGTTTGGGAGGAGACATCTTAAGGTCCTGAAAAGGACAATTAGAAATTGCCTGGATCGGTTTGGATCGGGAGTGGGTGGGAGTAGTCTGGTGGTGGATTAGCATGTCGGCTGGTTTGGCGCTCAGGGGTGTTTTCAGTCTGGTGGGCTGTTTTCCTGGCGGCCTGGGCGGATACTGTTCCTTCAAGATGGCGGCTAAAAGTCGGGCATGTTTATCCGGCTTGCTATTAAGGGCTTGTTAGGTAGGTGTATCTTTTTCTTCCGTCTGCTTGTGGGTTCTTCTAGGCTTTGGTAGTCCCCTGTGGCTTGGATGCGGCAGGGGTAGATGAAGTCAGTGGTTTGGGAGTGGCGGGGGTTGCTGGCGGCTTTTTGATTGGTGACTTCAGGCTTTCGGAAAGCTCATCAATGGGGTGTCTGTCTGGGTGGAGGATTCTCTGCTCTTCAGTGGTTGTACCTTGTGATTTGTAGATCTTTGTCGAGTCTTCTATGCTTTTTTCTCGCTTTTGGTACCATTGTTCCTTGCGACGTCTCCGCTGAATAACAAGATCCCTCTGCGCTTTGATTTCAACCTGCCTGGTAGCCTCCGTTCCAGCTTTCACTTTCTCTTCGCGTGCCTCCTTTCGGGTCTTTTCTCTCTCCTCGCATATGTTTCTCGTCTCGGTCACTTCAAGTCACAGTCCCTCGTTGGTCACCTCTAGATTTCTCACTTTCGCTGTGAGCTCCTGCTGGCTTTTTATCGTTTCTCGGAGTCTGCTCTATTCTTCCTCGGCTGACTTCTTTGTGGGACTGTATACAGGACAGCACAGCCTTGATATCTGCTTTGAACTGGGTCATGTCAGCAACTTCGGCCTCTATGAGTTGCTGAATTTTGAGTGTCTCTTGAATCAGGCTACGCAATCCTGTCATCTCATATCTATCCTCGGCTCGTTTGACTTCAAATGCTGCTTTGTCGCTTTTGAGTGATTGAATTTCTGCTTTCATTTGTGCTATTTCGTTTTGAAATCTGTTGCAGCGATGTGTGGATTGGTTGTTCAGGACATCTCGTTCCTGTTCTTTGCTTCTGGGTTAGGAGCAATCGTTGAGACGGCACTGGTTGTTAATACCTTCTTGATCGCCTTTAGGCATGGGCAACCCATGTACCTGGCGCTGTGTGCACCGGAGCAATTAGATCACCTTCTACTTGCGTTAGGCTTTTTGAAATCCGTATCCACTTTTGCCAGGGGGCAATCCTTGAATTCATGTGGTCCGGCACAGTATCGGCACGATAGGCTGCTGCGGCAGGACGAGTCAGAATGCCACGCCTTGTTACAGCGTGAGCACTTGAAAATTTCTGGGTAGAAGGCTCCAGGTTGCTGCTGCTTCTGAGGATGAAAGGGGGAGGGCCGGCGGTTCTTGGTATTACTGCTGTGGCTGCGGCAGTGACTGTTAGCGTATGATCTGGTGACAGCACCTCGACAGGGGCTTCATCTAGGATGAGGCTGGCGTCACGATAGGGTCTACCGTTAGGACTGGTGCGACGACAGGTGCTTCCTCCTTGTTAGTCGGCAGCGTCGATCTGGTATCTCTGCGCTGGCTCGGCTTCATCTGACTGGTTTTGCCACGGGCCATAATTGATGTGGCTATGACTGGTTGAGCAGTACTGATCGGGCTGCTATCGAAAGCTAGATTTCTGAAGAGTCGGCAAGACTTGTTGAGTATCCTGAAAAGGACACCAAGTGTGCTTTCTCAACACTTCCCTACACAAACGTTTTGCCAAGTGCGTACACAGGCTGCTAAGGACCCAAACGCAGCCGACCCGGATAGCTTAGTCGAGACAGACTCAGCCAAACATCGGTGTCCAGTATCTAGCTATCGAGAATCAGGCAATAAATGGATAGTTAGCCGGCGACGTGGCGAGGCGGGCTGTTACTTAGGCGTTTGTATCGTATCTGTTTGCGCAATCACACTCACGAAGTGTCTAATTTATACTGCATCGCTGCTGTAATGTCCTGCCTGTGTCTTCGTAGTAGACACAGTTATGATATCGTTAGCATACAACATGGCTCTACCCAGACCTACGCTCTGTGGAATGGTGACTCCTGCTGTGTGCAAATTGTACAGAACAGACGACAATAGTGATTCCTGAATCAGGCCCGTGGAGACAAGTGAACAGTTCGACTTACATCTAACGTTTCGCAGTTGTACACTTCTCTTAAAAAGAGAGTTGCTGCTATCCAGTTGACCCTTTTGTCTACAAATGTCCAAACTCAATTTCATGCACATTTTGATAGGACTGTTAAAAAAAATTTTATAAGTCAATGGCGGACTCTATGTGATTTCTTTGAGCATTTTCTAGGTGATGGCTAGCTCGGCGTATCCAGTCTTGAAGTCGTCAAATGTGTCGTGTTCAAATACTGCAGAACTGTACAAGCGGCCATTAAACATGCGTGAAGACGCCAACTAACTGCATGACTGTACTAACCAATTCTGTCCAGACTGGTTTTTAACTTCTTCTGTTACCACGGTGTCTCCTTTCTAATTCAACGAGACTCCGGAATTTAGTGTTGTGAAGTAAGCCTCGTTGTGGACGAAAATTAACAGTTCAGTAAAGACTGACGTGTGTAGTAATGCTTTTCCATATCTATCGATTCCCATCAGCTCGTAATGGTTCGCGTGTTGACATCCTTCCATGCCAGGGCTAAATCGTTCTTTTCCCCAGTCTTTTCAGATATAAAATATTCTAAAATGTGACTGGTCTTGAAAGTATTTCTGATAAGTTATCTATGGTCTCAGCTTTTTTCACACCTTCTTAATATGAGGTTTGTCCAAGGAACTTCAAGTAACTTTCTGCTTGTCTAATGATGCAGATTAAACATCTCACCTTCTGAGACCTATATTTCAAACATAGATTTGCAATAAATAAAGCGAAGATTTGTATATATGAAACAAACACCACCTGTATACACAATTTCTGTGATTTTATTGCATTGTTTAAGACATTAGAGATAATCATAATAAACTGAGAATAATGTAAGAGGTAATAATACGACATTGAACATTTCAACATGGCATCGAACTGCACGCGACGTTTCCCCCATGTATATCATTATCTCCCACTAGACTGCATGTTTATATCTCTACAAGATCACACTTTTTTTAAAAATGTAATTATCTTAGTAACTAGTCTTGTTCGGTACCAAGTTTACTTTTTGTTGCTTAGACATAATTGTTAACCTTCCCGCACAGAAGTATGTATATTTTCTTTTGTAACATTGACATTCTCTTTTGTTACATTTATATTCTTTTCCAAAGCATTTAAATTCACTTCTGTAACATTTATATTCTGTTGCATAACATTTATGTTTGGTGCATATGTTTTTTCCACTTGATTATTTCTCTTGAAATGTTTAGGTTTGATTGCAGTAATTTACCACAGACAAGATACCCGCTGCTCTTACCCTTATGCTCCTTTGCCTGTTTAGATTAATATAGGTTACTTGTGCAGCATAATGTTGAATCTCCTTTCAGTTTCTGTCATCAGATTTCTATACACTTATCAGTACTGTACCTTTGTTTTCTACATCGATAACTTTCTGTAGTTTAAATATTTCGAAAATGTAAATTCTTGAAAAATTGTTATTTAAACAAGCATCCCTTCATAACTGGTTATATTATTGAAACAAACAAAAGAGATGTATGTGTAATGCTGCATGAAAGTATAAAACTGTCCACACGGAATGAGTTATCGTCTCATTCGTGGTAACGTCTAACGTCTGGAACCCTGTCCACTTCAGATATGGTTTAGTCTGCCAATGCAGTCAAAACGCAAGTGAAACATTCGCCGGTTTACATTTGCTTATACAACAATAAGACAAGATAACAAACAATTGGACACAACAGTATACAGAACAAACCAGTTAGAGCCAATGTTCACACACATCCGCCAAATGTCTTAGTATATTTTTTTTGTGTGTATACGTTAGAATGACGGCAAGCCAGTACAGTAGTATTTTTGCCTTTTCTATTATGATTCATACCTGCTTTCAAGGTAGGTAATGAATTACTCATCGTTAATATCGTCATCCTTTTGTGCCATTTATGGTCACACAGGGCTAGCAGTCGATTTCTACATTATTTAATTTTACCTTATATATATATATTCCTGAGTGTGTTGCTCTCATTCCTCTGTTCCTTCCCTGCATGCGGCAATCACAATCTCAATTATGTTTTGGTTTCTGACACGTAGGACTAAGAATCGCTGAACGTTAATCTTTCATTGTTTTAATTCATAGATCCTATGCGTCCTGCTCAAGGTTCTGCTGTCCGTCTGTTCCCTGTTGTGATACTAGCTCTAACTGAACACCATGGGACAATACCATACAATAGGAATAATCTGCAATCATAAACATAATCTATCAGATTACAAAATTAAGCAGACACACAAGATCAAGTGCTTAAGTGACAAGGATCTAATTATTAAATGCAGGTGATGTGTGATAGATATGAGTGAATTCAAATCATTCTTTTATGCATTGCTTCTTTATAGTTTTCTAAAATGGTTATAAATCTAATAGCGGTGCCAACTTCTTCCCCTTGATCAAGTCAGCAGCCTTCTCTCCAATCATAATTGACGGACCATTTGTGTTACCAGAGACCAGCCATGGCATAATGGAAGCATCGGCCACACGGAGTCCGGATATTCCTTGTACTCTGGGGGAAAACAATAAATAAGATGTAAGATGTATTGACAGAAAATAAACTTATTCAAAGTAGAGATATCTTCAATCTTCTGAATTATTGTCTCAGTTACTGTTGCCGTCCTTGCGAAATAAGAGCTAGTTAGGATGAAGAGGCATGCGTTTCAAACTGATGTAACACTAGTTCACTGTAAAACACATGGGCGTTTCCTTATTTAACAATGTTTCTGTAATTATATCTTAGAACAGCTAGTTCAAGAACAGTCCTCCACCAGACCCCACTGAGCTAAACTGATCTAACTATTGCAGTGCTGCATGCAGCGCCTCGAAGTGAACAACGTTTGGTTTCAAACATTTTCATCAACAAAATCTAATGAAAGTAAGCAATGTCCTGCGGCAAAATCGTAGATAGTGTGAGGCATCGACAGCAAACTTGAGATATTGTCAAGGTTAAGCAGAAGACAGCGGGACTCTGGCTACAGTAATCCACCGGTTACAAAGAACTAACATTGTGTAGCGCAGCAGCGGCAAACAAACCACTCATTTGCATTTTATTTCTTGTAACACACATATTTGGGTTATATGATATCACACGATCACTAGAGAATACAATCTTTGCTTTAGAATTTAAATGTCATAGGAACCTTAATATGATTGTAGATAAAAGTAAATAAATTACTGACATTCTACATAGTCTGAACATGAAAGGAAACGTTCTCACAAACTCTAGCGATCTAGGAAACTGTTTTGTTGGGATATCAGACATAAGTGGCTTAGAAAGAACATTAGTGTAAAGCGTGGTACCTTGGGGATGTGTATGCCGGTGGACACGTCACAATGGGAACACAGTTCAAAAAAAAAAAAAAAAAGTAAAGATCCCTTTTCACTCCTTAGGCCCATCGGGTATATGGGAAGAGCGTCCCATATTTTTACAGACCAATCGTCACTGGATGGGCTATGTAGTCAGCATTACGCCGGCCGTCTCTACTACCCCAGGACAGCCATCCTGGTACCCATTTTAGGCTGCGTCGACCTGCGACGCCCCAAACCATGATAAAAGTGCACGCAGCCAGCAGTGGGTTTCCATCACGGTACGTTGGATTACGGGTCGAACTCGCAACATCTAAGCCACGGACGCCAGGAACACAGTAGGTAGAAAAAATACACGACAGGGACGTTTACAAGTTATCCGGAGGTTTTATCTATGTCCGCGATGAGTGTACTGTTCTTCAAAAGACCACGAAGATGATGATGATCTCCACTCTTATCGTTAAGCATTAAATTATAGAACATTTCTATCAACTCGACGTAGAACAATTATACACCCACTAACAAGTGATCTCATTATCCGGGTAACTGGGCTAGTCATCTCTTGAGAGCTCTGCAAATAAATGCCGTGTTAAACATCTTGGCATATCCTGTCTACAATCTCAGGGACCAGAAACATTAACGATTATCAGGTACCCACACGGATACACACATCTCAGGGTAGAACCAAAAATATTGCCTAGGCTGCCTAATCTGTAAAACCAATAATCACGTTCCATTACATTCTAAGATTTGCTATCACAAAACAAACAGTCAGGAACTCGGTCAACAAAGTGATGTTGTTTAACTTCCTGTACAGATCAAGCCGACAACACCCGCCGTCTGGTCTAAGTTAGACTGGGACAAAATCCGGTAGCGAATATTAAGAGACATCTATTGGATGTTGAGTTTTCTTAAATGTAAGATAATATTCAGTGTAAAACAGTAATAAGCAGTGCCATGTTATTTTAATTTCATGAAACTCTCTGCTAGAATTCGATTTTTGCGGTGTACAGTTTAGGGGTTAAAAAAAAACCCATTCTCGTAGCTTTCGGACCGTAGTTCGAGAATGGCACAGTGAAAGAGACTGAGGCTTCCCCTGGTCTTAATGCTAAAGAAAAAAGCGGTTCACTGTAGCAAACCTTCAAGTGTAGAAACTCTGAAAGATTGTGACAGATAATCTGAAATTAATTACCTTTACATTGTTTCGTCTTCTGTTTCTTGAACAGACGGTGGCATAATGCCATAAAAACTGTTACCAGTGAACGTTGTCGAATTGTTTATTTTGTGTTGCCTGGAAGCGGAGCACTCAAAATGTTTCATACAAACACTGACCTTGGCAATTATTTTCGCATTTTTTGTTAGCACGTGTGTAATTTGTTGTTGTTGTTGTTGATGTTGTTTTAAATGTATCGTATCACCTGAAGGCTGCTGCTGTGAACACAATGGGTGTCTTTATTATTACTTAGTCTTTGCTTGTAGTTCTGATCAATGATATCTTCATCTAAATTCTAGATCTATTTTCGTCTGTGTAGTTTAAAACAGGTTATTCTTTTGTTCCCATTTCACTATTTTGTTTTGTTTGCAATTAATTTTTACAATAGCTAGTTTAGCTCCATATCCTTTATAACACGTTGCAGAACCAACCATAACATTTGTAATAGTTTGATTTTACTAGGTAATTCATGTTAAATAGTTTGCCATTGCTTTCTAAACGGTCAACTCTTGATTTCATTGTCGAAATCATGGCAAGGCAGCCGATCTGCTGCCAAACGGCCTGCAGTCTGAATCTTACCGGGTACATGGGAATTTCAAAGTGCGTTGGCAACGCCCAAGCCGCACACTCAGACTTTATATTAACGCATCTATTTATAACAAATCAATTTGAAAATAAGTGTGTGGGGTGGGGAAGGGGTAGGGGGGTTGGTAGGATGATGGGGGGGGGGGGGGCGGGAGGGGGGAGAGAAAAACTAACCTTAAACGAAATGTAAAAATATTTACCAGTACAATGTATTTCTTTAAAATCGCTTATAAACCTATTTCACATTGTGTCTGTTTTAAACAAAAAGAATTGATTCAAGTGAAACTAGTGGCATCAGTGAACAACAGCCTATCCCGGGCACATAATCAGAAAATAAGCTACAGACACCTGCTGTTAGAGGATGGTAAAGAACATAACAACGCCAGGGGCTACATAAATAACTGTCTGAGGAGATTCTGGTAGTCTTAGTTTCAGCTTCATAGCAAACGGGTCACCCCATCTTTGCTCCGCTCCTGTGCCAACGAAAAACACGCAGAATGTTTATCACAGTCCCTTGTGGAAAGATTGACAGACTGATGTCTTAACATATCTAGCATACACTCGCATTAAAGCATATGGTAGCAATCCGAAGTGCTAACACAAACAGTCCGACATTAGAAATGCAGTTCATCATTGATGGTAGCAGAAGTCACCAACAGATCAGTAGTTACCCACGCGATCAATTTTAATCACATACGGGCACCACCAACACTGAATGACAGGCATCGCGCCATTTTCTGAATTTACCATTCACATCAAATGAAATTCGCAGCTCACAGTGTCACGCCATGCATTCAACTCAGAAGCTGGGCGACGAAACTATATCCAGTCTACAAATGGAGCGAAAATGCATCGGCTACCGTCCGGCAGAAGCAAAAAATTTGCCTCTGCTTCGAACAGTGCCCCTGCCTAGCGTCCATTTTGACCGGAAGAGGGGAACGAAAGTACGTATAGGTGAGAGTACGTATAGGTACGAGAATCATGACGGGATCGAAGAGCACTCTAGACAATTTAAACATGGGCAGCTGTAGGTACCGTCTGGATTGTAACTTACCGTTTTCACATCGAGAAAATTACAATTGTACATAGCCCTATAGTCACCTGGCTCCTATATTCACTTAGTCAAAATGAGTACCATGCAATGTACTGGGAAGTCAAGATGACAAATGTCATGCTGGTCGCATCACTAAATGACAGTCGGTTAGTCTACACAAATATGGATTTAGCATCATATGCAATATACGCCATTGACGTGATAAAGGTCCTTTATATTTTGTCTACTTTTTGATGGTCAGTTGGCACCCCTGCTTCCAGTGTGTGAATATCATCCATTTATATTTTTGGCACACACTCACAACCAGTGAATAGGATAACACTTGTACAAAACTATTTTAATAGAAATATAGCTTTCATACCTCAATTCTGGGTCCACCACGGCCGTTGGATCCCCCTTAGGACCCATCTTGCAGGTCCCGACTGGGTGGTAGATGGTCAGAGCTCTGTGTTTAACCAGACACTCCCAGTACTCGTGAGAGTCGTATCTGTGCTGCTTGCAGGCGGACTCTGGTCCCTTCTCCGTGAACTCAGCGCCCACATCTTGCAGAGGTTTAGCGCTGACAATCTTCTTGCACTCTTGAATACCTACAAGAGAAACAAACAGCTCTTACCTCGTCAGTTTAATTAGTTGTTTAAAGTTATGAGTACATACATGCAAATAAGCATGAAAGCTGATTTTGCAGGGCAAGCACCATCAGTATAGAAATTCCGTGCTAGTTGCTGAAGATGAGAAAAGGGACGTATATGGGAATACCCCGAACGCTGTGATTTTAATTCTAATCTCGTCACTTTTAAAATTGACATATCAGATTATATTGACAGTGTCAGTGTTATAACAAATGTAGGTCGATAATAGAGTACATTAATGTGCATATAGATATTATAACTGCCGAGGCATGTTTTTTTTAATTACGTGTGCAACAATACACACAGGCGTTCGGTCTTACTACCCAGAGACCAGGGAAAATACCTCGGGACCACACAGTCTCCTTGTAGCCTAACGGCCTGCACGGGCAAAATTTGAAGTTACAAATCTACCTAAAAAGTATTTCACAATCCTCGCCAATGCAACGGAGCTCGTACACTGCGCTGAGATTCTCAGATTTGAGTCAGAAGTAGAACGACGCATTTATATGTTACAACCTGTATGCCATGATGCTGATCCGTCGACTAAACTAAACTAAACATAGACATTAGAAGGCTTGATGTCATCGTTTTTCTTCTTCTTCTTCTTCTTCTTCTTCTTCTTCTTCTTCTTCTTCTTCTTCTTCTTCTTCTTCTTCTTCTTCTTCTTCTTCTTCTTCTTCTTCTTCTTCTTCTTCTTCTTCTTCTTCTTCTTCTTCTTCTTCTTCTTTTTACTACAATTACTTCTTCTTCTTCTTCTTCTTCTTCTTCTTCTTCTTCTTCTTCTTCTTCTTCTGCTTCTTCTGCTTCTTCTTCTTCTTCTTCTTCTTCTTCTTCTTCTTCTTCTTCTTCTTCTTCTTCTTCTTCTTCTTCTTCTTCTTCTTCTTCTTCTTCTTTTCCTTTTTCTTCTTTTTCTTCTTTTTCTGCGTTTGCCCGTTTACAAAATGGCTGTGATTTTTTAGCATTTAGGCTGACACATCCGACTTCTGCAGGCATTTGTTGCCAGAATTAGTTTTCCCAGGGCATGCCTTTTAAAATAGTTACGCGAAGAACTCAAACTACACAAGCGGTTGACCAGGAGTTCACTTTATCAATGCCTAACATAGAAAAAAAAATTAATCTACGCCAATGTCGGCCCCAAGCTCGGATGAGAAGGGAGGAGAGTTGGACGTGGCGGCCAGCTCCACTGCCGTATAAAAACAATAAATGCGACAGAAACTTGCAGGAAAAGGTGTCGGCACACGAATGATTCAAATGGTGTGAGGTGCACTGACAAAAAGACCTGACTGAGCAACCACTAGTATTAACATATACAAGACAGAAGATAGCGCTATACTAGACACACCTCGAGAAGAATCGAACAGAGAATTATCACACAGGCATTGACACGACAAAAATAGTGCGACTGAGGAATCAAAGACGTTCAAGAGAACCTGCGGCGAATGTAAATGAGAGAATCCAAAAGTGCTGGACTGGATTTCATCCATGATATCAAACTGATTGCACAAGAAAGAAACAAAAGCAGGAGTGAGCTGCAAACTCCATGTGATATATACTCACACAAAAGGATGATGACATATATGATAAATAATGTAGCCAGAATTGTCAACATTAAGGTGGCAATAACTGGTTAAAGGACAAAGAACTTAACTAACTCAGTATTTCCATCAAACTGATATTACATAATTCCATATTGACTCAGTCTGATCTTGAATAGATAATAACTAATGGTGACTTTTTCTGTTAACTTTCACTGACCTCTTATCAAGACTTCTCTGTCTTCCTGTGCCGCTAGATAGTTGGCCTGTATGACGGGGTAGTCGAAGGGATCCGCAGATTTCAGGGTGATGTTTCCGATGCTCTCTGGTCTCATGATGGAGGGCAGGCAAGTGAAGCCGTAGTCTCCCCTGTTTCTGTCAGCTAGTTCAGCCTTGGTCTAGTGGATCATTTTGTCAATTAAAAGACATTATAAGTTCACTGCTGCTAAATTAGCAAAAGTAAGGATAATACTTTAAGGAAAAGTCGCAATATGGTTATTGTTATAGACTGTAATGATAACAAAGTAATCTTTTCCTTGATTGTATACTGTTATTATAACGTGCAGAAATTGTGCCTCAATGTATGTTAGGAATACATGAACGATTCAATATTGAATGGTGAATTAAGAATCGACATCAAAGCACTCGGGATACTCCCTTAAGCGCTCTGTCCCCGTCTTCAGCAGCAAACGAAGTGTTTCAATTCTGGTGGCACCAGTAACTGTCTGTATATCCGTCTCGCATTTGCCTTGAGTGTTGAGCATTGACCAGATCCCCTAGTAAATACTTGCAGCGCCATGCTCCTAAACCCGTAATGATCTATTTGCGCTTCCGCAATGTTCACTGGCTCCCAGAGTGCCCTTTACAACATCAAGCCTGTCCTACACCAGTTCACCACCAACTGGTACAGAAGCGTTCAAACTATCTGACTGCTCATTTCCCAGCACTTCGGCATAACCTGGAGAGAATATCCGAAGGATGCTAACTACCCGGGACCTTTGAAGTGATGCTTGCCACTCTGGACGGAGCATACCTGTCTCCACCTTTCCCAACATGCTTTGTGAGTCAGTTACAATCACGGCATATGTGTACAGCTGATTCTCAAGCCAGTGGAATGCAGCAGTGACTGCCTCCACCTCCATTCTCAAACTAGACGTTGTGATATCATATGCCAGGCTTTGTTGCACTAAGTGCTGTTCGTTCGCTTTTGCTATGAACCCCTATGCACTTCGTGTGCCCCTCAATACAGAGACATCTGTATAGATATTCACATCACTTGGGCGAGAGTGTTCAGTTGAGTTGAGTCAAAAATTGATACAGCACTCGGGGTATTCCCATGCTTGCTGCGTCCTCATCTTCAGCAGCCAGCGCAGAGTTCTAATACTGAAGGTATCGGTCACTTGGACGGAAATTGTCAAGAATTATTTTTTGAACTTCTGATTTTCCAGTGCCAGCTGGCTAGTCCATACACTAACAACCCAGGTCTGAAACTTGCTCAGACGATTGACCCACTCCTCATGAACGGTTATTACTTGCATTATATTAAGAAAACTCAAATCTATCCATAAGCATTTGAATTATTTATTAGCTGGCCTGTCTCAAAAAAAAAAAAAAACACCCATGGATATAAATACCAAAGGAAGCAATGTGGGCGGTAATATGTAACTGGTGGCTTTTGAAAGGAAATACTCAGTTGTAATGAAATGTTCTTCCATACAAAGCTGTTTTGATTAATAATATCGCCAGAATAAAGGAATACTACTGTTGTGTTTATTTTCGACGAGCCTAAATTTGCGAGCAAGAAATGTGGCAGGGTTGAATTGAATACAAGCTAGAGTAAAAGTTTCATTTCATGAATCATGTCTACTGTTTTGATAATAGGAAATTGTTTAATTTACATAGTTCATACTAATAAAGTTGCATATATGCTAAGCAAAAATCAATTATTAATATCACCAAGTGGAGTAATTGCAGTGTGTAAAAAAAAAATACTTATTATTACCTGCAAATGGTTACAAGTGTTTTTAAGAAAACTGTATGATTTCGGAATTCCATGCTGTCATAAGTCGTGATGATAGAAAAGATGTGTACTCTTTTGCCGTGCCATTGTCAAAGTTTATCAACACTTATAAATGATAGGATTTTTTAACACAGCAGACCAATCTTTTATTTGATTATTTGAGACGTAAGAATCATATAGTTCCATGCTTCCCAAATGTTTTGGCTCAAGATTATCCCTGCCCACAACGCCGAATAATCGGTAAACACAGGTTGCTATGACAGTATTTTCAGCCATACTGATTGTCTTTTGCGTATGTGTCGCTACATCTCTACATCTCATCTGAGTTTCTTAATATCTTGACGAGAAAACAAAAATTCAGACTGGATAGATAGTAATTACCAGAAAATTTATGTAGTTAAAATGACTGTAAAGATGCTTACTTCTTCGGCATAATTAAAGATATCCATGAGAATATCATTGGGCATAATCTCGATGAAATGTATCTGCAAGTCGGGCCAATCCTTGGCTTTAGTCTCCTTGGTCGTACTTTTGAACCCCAACACTTCCAGACTGAACGGTGAATTCAGTGGACCTGTTCATTGAAGAGATGATAATAACTGGGTGGAATGTTAGGTTTTCCTTAAACATAGATGAAACTATCTTGTAGGCAACCATGCATGCACGAAAAATATGCATTTAATTAGGAGAAAAATATGAGTAGAGAGAGAATAATAAGAAAGAGTCTGACAAAGATAAAAAAGGAAGCGAATGAATATAATATGGCGAAGGAAAGGGGTCGGAGGTAAAGAAAGAGAGGGATTTTAGAAGGAGGAATAAATGAAACATGTACCTTTTTTTTTGTTTTGTTTATGCATTTGTTGTATCTTTGCAATCTGTCATTAGGTCTTTATGTGCCTCGTAATTGTGGTTGGTGAGCATAATACAAACAATTTACGTTATGCTGATGACACAGTCTTGATAGCCACAGGTCAGAAAGAACTACAGGAAATGACAGAAAGTGGTAGAAAGTGGAAGAATGGGCCTCAGTTTCAATAATGGAAAGACAGAAGTAATGGCGGTATCAAAGAAAAGATTTATTCCTAATTGTGTAATAAAAGTCAATGGTGTTATTTTGATACAAGTACAGCAATTTAAGTATCTGGGCACATGGATAACATTAGATAGAAGATGCATTGCTCAGATAAGAAACAGAATGGTACATGCAAAAACTGCATTTTTTTTAAAAAATAAGAACATCTAATGCAATATATCTCTGTCATTGAAGGTTAGAAGCAGAATTCTTGCTTGCTACATACATCCATTTTTGACATATGACTGTGATTCCTGGACAATCAGTAGGCAAGCCAAACAATTTCCTGAGGCCTTAGAGATGTTGTTTTACAGAAGAATGCTTAAAATACCTTGACAGCCAAATGGAGCCAACAAGAGGTTTTAAAAGAGGCGGGAGCCCAGAGACAACTTATCACAGACATCAGAAGGAGACAGTCATCATTTTTTGGCCATGTTTTGAGAAGAGGAAAACGTAACATTTTGTGACCACTGGAGAGATCTGTAAAAGGAGGGATAGAGAAAGACAATGAGAGAAGATTCTTGACAGTCTTGTTGCAAGGCATGGAGGTGTGTCAGCACACAAACGGAGACATGCTGCAGGAGATCGTGGATTGTGGAGAGGCTTGATCGCCCACGCGAGTCGGCAAGACACCTGATGATGATGATACCCAATTATCGCTGGCTTTTAGCCATCTCGATCCAAGTGGCAGAAAATTAATTTCGTTATTGCTTCCCACTTTTCATTCTCTGCTTTGATTCTCTCATTTTCAGACAGACCTGAAAGACACATCGATATTGAAAGTAAAACGATGTTTCTAAAACATCAGTGAGGGCAATGAGGGGTGCTCAGGACGTGAAACGACTGTTTACAAACTGACGCATCAGTCATGTGCTGCTAAAGTCATGCAGTCAGATGGTGATTCAGTCATAGCATCTGACTTTGCTTTCCTTTACATTTTCTGTTATGAATTTTACGCTGTAACTACCTGGGCTGATTCGAACACAAGCCTTTCCAGTTGGTAGGTCAACGTAAGGGTGATGAATAAAAAAAAAAAATAATTCTCACTAAGGCCATCAAAGTATGTCATAATTTTCTTTTAAATAAAGACTGTTACCTGTGCCAAACAGCTTGTATTGTAACTGTGACCAAAACGTTTTAACTCTCGGCCAAGAATTGGTAATGGGCTCTCTGATTCTGACGCCCATGTCGAACCACATGTGGTCCTGGAGATTCTGTCCAACAGGAAGATCAGCCACAACAGGGATCTGCAGAATCAAATATTTTTGTAATGATGTAATCCAACTGATGACATGCTGGCTGATAATCATACAAACCATGAGTCTGTTAGACAGCTAATAGATATACACACTTTCTAAATGTACAGGCCCCTCTTCACTTCTTACGGTACATCATGTATAAGGTGTTCATCACATATTTTTTTTTTTTTCAAACAGAGGGATGTGAGCTCCGTTGATGAGATGGGCAAAGTCATGCTACTTCACTTTAGTAAGACTAATTTTATGCCAATTCGACAAGCAAGTTTTTTTTTTTTTTTAATTACTACTTTTTTACAACTTAACCCAATGACCATCAGACCAGCAAGCAAAGGTTCTACGCTATCGAGACTTACGTCGTGGCATAGGATTGTTTCGACACAAACTCATGCACGCTGCTGGAGACCACAAGAAATAGAGAAGCCTGATGGCTATCATTAGTCGGCGAGGCACTTGATGACGCTACAGAGATTTAAAGAAGACAAAGTAAGTTCCCATTTGTGCATAATGGGTATACCTCTGGTCCTGAGAAAGATGCCATTTCTATTAGTCACGTGTATGTTACCACACACCTCGTCTTCAACATCATTATTATGACCTTCTTCTGTTTCTTCTGCTTCTTCTTCACTTCGAGTGTGAATCAAAATACTTCGCTGTAATTCTCTTTATACCGGGTTCCAATTTTTGCTCTTTTACTTCATCGCCGGCATGTTAAGCTTGAGACGGCTACATCAACGCTCAGTTAGCCAAGACATTTCCAAGTGACCCTGGATGGTCTTTATGGCTACCGTAGCATACCTAGCCAAATACTAGCAGGCCTTTCATTTGTTCTTTACTACTTGGCACGAGGAGGCCTAGGGTGATATTTCCAGAATAGTGTTTTATTATTATTATTATGTTATTATTTTTACTTGTATTATTATTATTATTATTATTATTTATTATGTGCACTACTAAAAATAAAACTGCTGACGGTGATACCTTGTGATCTTTCTGGCAAACCTCTATAACCCACGGTACAAGAGGAGGAAGAGGAGCGACTAAGTAGTAACTGAGAATTTGCACGATTATATTTTAGCATATTCAAACAGAATGTTGCAACAAACAATAAATTTTTGTCAAAAATGCAAGTGTATAGAATAGTATGTTTTACAGATATTCTGAACTCTTCAACTGTTTACCTTTAAACTTTCCAGATGTTTCCTGGGCCCGATACCAGACAACATGAGTATCTGTGGGGAATTGACAGCTCCTGCGGACAGGATGATCTCTTTGTTGGAACGAATAATGTGCTTCTTCCCATTTTTGATCACCTCAACTCCCTCAGCTCGTTTGTTATTGATGATTATCTGATAAAATATATTCAGTCTAAGGTTAATAAATGACTAGGTATATCTCAGTAATAGCAGCTGTTCATTCACAGTACAGCAACATATTGTTTGTTAAAAAACATACAGTCTAAAAAAGTGATTTGAGCTTAAAGTCTATACTCCATTTCATTAGACTGTTAACTGTCCACTTTCTAAAGAGCTGCCAACTACCTGCCAAGAGCGTCACATAAAGTATAATCTCTATAGCTACAGCTGTCCCTCCAGGCATCTACGAAAAATGTTCATCCGTGTGCCGAACGACATAATCAGAAAACAACCCGACTTTTTGATTTTGAGATGAACATTGGCGGCACTCAGCCATTATGAACTTCAGAAACACCAAGTTTTGAGAGTCTGTATACTAATACATGTATGTGTGTGTAGACAGTATTATCACGGAACTGATTTCTAGCTAAACAAGATTCAATCATCATAATCAGCAGCAGCAGCATTATCATCATCCTTCGCGTTGCCAATACGCCTATGCTCATCTCATATTACCCATGTAATCATGGACTATGGCAATGCTCTTGTTGATTTCCATCAATATAATAAAGCGATCGAAGTATCTATCTCTCTACTAAAGACATCATTAGTTTTCATCAGTCTTTCTGGTCGTCACCAGTCCAGTCCATTCCTTCTTAAAACATGTTTTTTTTTTTTTTTTAATTGGTTGTCTACAATTTTCTTGTCAGTTTACGGTGTTAATTATGTCTGAGGAATGACCTTCCAATCTGTTTTTCTGTTATTCCCTAATAGTCTTTGCATTCTGCTCAAACGTATCTGGTTTTGTTAATGTGTCCACTTGATATCGATGTCGTCCGTGTATATAAAAAACACAGATTCCTTATAGCAGTTTTGTTCTCACCGCAGTTAACCAATTTGGGTTGTGAAGCAGGCGACATTTCTGGGACATGGAATCCGTGGTAAGTGGTCAGTCTGTTTTTTTCATCGTCTTTTATCTAAAGAAACTGTATAATGAATTTCCAAATTTGTTGCATCCTTCTTCTGTTAGGCAGGGTTCGCCACGTTGGTTAACAGCCTCAGAATGGGAATTGAACCTGGACCACTGATTTAGTAGGCTGGGGCATAACCATGATTCTCCCGCCGTTCGATTTATTATGTGATTGTTTTAAGAATTCACTGTGAAGAAGAAAATGTAATGACTCTTTTCTCAAACGCTTTGCCACAAGTTTAGTTGCTGCCACAATGTCTTTTAAACGGTATTAAATCCTACTAGACCTTTTTCTTCAAGTCCAAACAGACTGCCTTGTGTTTGGTATTCTCGGGGATCCACAACCTTCTGTCTGGAGTTTTGTAGATAAGTTTTGAAACAGACGTTCTTTAATTCTGTGATGTCAAAAGACTGATACCTTCCCTCCTGGCATCTTCCCTGTTTCTCTTACCCCTCCAAAATGCGCGTTGTCAAGATGTACTACTATTCTCCTTTTCTGACAAGGTCATGAGTTAGTTCACTTTGTTTGCGAGCTAATTTGTATCAAGACGCCGTCACTGCCCTTGTTACCTTTCTTTGATATGTATGCCTTTCTTCTATAAAACATCATCTATGCAGCTTCCAGATAATTGTTTGCATGTTAGCTGACTTTCAACGATTCACTTCCTCAATTCTCATTAGCCTTATGCAGCTAATTTCTCCTACGCACCGACAGAGAAAGATTGTATTCGATATTAATCAAGAAAAACATTATTGCATCAACAGTAACTATTGCCTACAAAGAGAAGATGCTGGACAGTTTGACATGGTATGGAAAATCACTGTCTTCAGAAACTGACTAAAAGTACAGGAGACAGAAGGTTGTGGATAGACACGACTACCAGCACCAGATGGTATGTGATAACAGAAAAAGTATCCCCGTGGATGGTCAAGCTACATTTACATACGTCAACACTGCAGCTAACCTTCTTGACGTGCGCTTTCACTGCCACGTCCAGGTTGGGCCTGTCTAGAACAGGGTGGATGAAGGCTCGACCAGTACTCATACGTTCATCGTTGAAGGTGTTTACTTGTGAATGGGAGATGCCTAGAGAATTAAAACAAATAGCTAAATTCATTGCTGGTTCCTACTCGCGAGAAAAAGTAATTTTAGTAGGAAACAGCTGTTTCTTGTGTTTCTTGTGTCTGAAGCTACTGTTCACAAACGTTACAACATGACGAGATACATTTTTAAAATAATCTAATTAAGTTTGCTTGTTTTTTTCTGTAGACAATGCTGTGTTGACTTGGTAATCATGCTTGTCCACATAAAAATGTCTATGTTATTGTAAATCATGTCTGAAACATATGTTGTTGTTTTTCCCCCAAACCATGATGTCAAACAGTCTAGCCTCTCCTTTGGTCTCCATGTTTCTTTCTTCCCCTCAGTCTGCCGAGTAATGGCGTACTATATTTTGTGCTTTTCAGGAACTGCCCACAGTACATAGGTTGAACTAAATGAAGTCAAAGAGGAAAAAGGTAGGTGACTACAGCACAGTGAATAAACACACATACAAATTGCTTGTTTCCCACTGAAGACTTTCTCTGTGCATATATCTAATAATTTTTCATGATTCACATAATTACCTATCGAGATAGTCTGCAAAGTACTATCTTTTCAGATCTAGCTAGCCTGGATCTGTGGTTTAAAAAAAATGAAGACTCCTTAAATAGAAAGATAGAGTCCGAAGTCGATCACACGACCTTCAGTAAAATCGGGAAATGAATGGAAAGAATGTAACCATTTTCGTACAAAATAAGGATAGGAAATAATACACGAAAAAATTGTTATTCCATCTATGCGTTAATGTCCCCTCCCTGTTTCTATGGAAACTATTTGCCAACCTTCCTGCGTTCTCCCGTTGTAGTCCTCATTGTAAGGATATCCTGCTGCCTGCGCCGCTTCCACGATTTTTGCGCTCAGAGGTTTATACTTGATATGGTTGATGGTGAATGGTCCGCCGTGACCATGGTAGGCTGCGGAAGAGAAAACATATCCATGTAACACACACCTATGTTGATAACCATGTGAATGGTTGTAAAGTAAATATACATTAAATGGCAATTGGATTTACTTTACGTTCATTAATTTATTAACGACAGTTCTTTAGCACGTCTGCTGGCTTGTGGATGTTGCCCGGGTTATTTACTATAGCACTTTCGTTGGCTAGAGTTATTTGTATAGCATTTTTATTGAATGTTGGATGTCGATCATGTTGTTTCAATAGCTCTTCTGATCGCTCTTTGATGTAGACCACTCTGTTATTTTAAAAAGCACCTCTGCCGGTTCGTCTACAACAACAACTCTTGTATATTTTACAAAAGACTTTGAAGCTCTGAAGTAATTATTTTGTGACAGTATTGGTAGGTACAATAATACGAAAGCATATACAGTGCACTTTCACACTCACAATGAATATATTTAACAGGGAAACTGTTACATTAGAAATATTTCATCGTCACAATATTTCATACAACAAAGATATATAAAAATACATGTGTGCGTGAGTGTGTGTTAATGTGTTCTCGTGTGTTTATGCGTTAACTCCTCTGGTGTGCAATGAGAACTGAAACCAGTATTACCCCCAGCTTTTCAAAGAAAAACAAACCGCTCAGCGACCCCATCTGCTTGGAAATGTCATCATCATTTGCCACGCCGATAAGAATACGATGGGGTCATTATTCGCTGTTCTAAATAAGCAGGAGAATCACAGATCAGATCAGTGATCTTGATCAGGTCAGTGCTCATGTTCTGCCCACTGCATGTGGCCAAGCCATTACGGAATTTATCTCTTTGAGTTTTCCCGCTCTTCTTTTGATCAGCCATGCCAGTTGTCGCATTCAAACAAATATAATAATGCAATAGCATGTTTATTCATATTTCTTCCTACTTGATACAGCATGATATGGTCTGTATAATCTTCTCCCTAGTTACATTTCAAATGTTTTTTAAAAGTATCTTTAGTGTTGTAAAGCCCTGAGATGGGCTGCATGAAGTTCCCTATACCCTTGTAAGTTCACATGCCTTTCCATTTCTAAGGGTACCATACGGAGCCGGATTTCCTGTTGAAATAGTTATCTTTATGTAGATACTTTTTTGATGTGTTTTTTTTTTCTTCAAAGAAGCTGCTGTCCAGTTTGGAGTGTGAGATGGTCTCGAGGGCTGATTTTCAGTCTTTGGATATGTCAGTTTTTACTTTAGTTTAAATGGACTGTTCAGGTTACACAGCTGACAGCAGGGTTACCGCCTCTAAATCTGAAGTGCCAGCAAGCTTCTCATGCCGCTATTGAGTGTGCCGCTGTGTTGCCGTTAGGGCGTGTAATGTAGATACAGGGACCCATAATCGTGTGCGTACTTGTCTGTTTTTTTTAGCGTGTGTGGCGGCTTGAGCTAAACCATACGTGGACACACATATCCAGATATCGAAAACACTGATTCCTAAGTATATAAAGTGAAACATCTCTTTGCCTTGACTCAGTTTGTTCCGTTTTGGAGAATATTCCTGGGACTTTTAGAAATGTACTGGATAAGTCTGAAGAGCTAACCCATAGTGTTGGTGTAACAGCAGCTATAAACATTGTTATGTCAGTGTTTATGTTTGCATACTGTGTCAAAATTTATCTTTCAAGATAAAGTGTGTTTTTTAAAGTGAGTTCTCCCTTGTAATCTATGGTTTACCAGATGGTTTGGAAGATTTTGGGCTTTTTTAAAGGCTAAGTGCAGAAAAAAAGGCTGTTGAGGTCTTTTTAATAACCGTCTAACAGCAATGTTGTCAAGAAGCATTGGGTCTGTATAACTGTTAACTCTTGGTGATGTGGACTGTTGTTGACTTACTGGCAACAACATTTAGTGATGTTAGTTTTGTAAACTACAAAAAGTTTTACCGACTTGCAGAAGTGGTTATTTAAGTTCTAACCAGTTGTTGGTACAGACAGTGGCTTATTCATAAAAAAAAAAAAAAAAACATGTTTTGGTAACCTAACTACAGCTTGCTGAAATTTCAGCTCAGGTTTTTGTCCTACTCTGTGTCGAAAGTTTGGGAATATTAAAACGAAAGTCCAAGAAAAGCATTTAAATTAATGCTAATGAGCGGTACAGGGTGTATTTTCAATGACTGATTTGTTTGGAAATATTGCCGTCCCCAAGCTTGCAATTACCATCTGTGGGATTATGGCAACACAGACTGCTATAGTGTGTCCTAGTTTAGAATCTGTTTTCCACACTACAGCCCTATTCACAATCGATTCTACTTGTTAAATTGCTTACAATATTAAGAGGAGGCACTCGAGTGTCAGGTAATGGCATCATAAATTGTTGAACAACCACATTCAAATAGTTGCCTCTGTCAGGGGACACAGTCTCAACCAAAAAATACTCTTTCTTTAATAGTTAACACCATTAAAGCTCAGATCAATTAATTACTAAAACACCGGAATGTAGCAGTGATATTCTAAACCAACGCTTCTGTGGCGCTTGAAAACATGACAGAATACACACATTTGATAACCATTCGGAAATAATTGTTCAAAAAAAAAAGGCTATAATAACTAAACATACACCCTTTTTCAACCTGATTTGTCATAACATATAGTATAAAACAACATACATACAATTAGGCAATCAATATATTTTTACCTGTTACACTTCATTGAAATAGGTATTTATTGGTTAGCAAAATGTTTACAGTACGGCATGTGGAGAAACGACAGTTCCACTTGACTGGCAGTAGACATTGATAATACCAGTTAGGAACAAGAAAGGTAATACAAGATCCTGCGCATTGTACAGAGGTATCTCACTCTTGAGCCACATATGGAAAATGCTTATTAGAACAGAGAGTTAGACCTATAGCGGAACAGCACTAAGTACATCACAATTTGGTTTCAGGAAAGGAAAAGTTTGCACAGATGCATTATTTACACACAGACAAGTTTGCGATAAAATATGATGGTATGAATATTGTGTTTTATGATAAAGAAAAAGCTTTTGATAGACTAGACAGAAACAAACTATGGACTATTCTTGAGAATTATGGGACACAACGACGATTGTTAGATAACATCGCGGCCATGTACCACACTTCCCAAAGCGTAGTGAGAACGCATAAAAGACATATCTAATATGTTTACAATCAATACAGAGATTAGGCAGTTAGAACATAAAAAGACATATCTAATATGTTTACAATCAATACAGAGATTAGGCAGTTAGAACATAAAAAGGCATATCTAATATATTTACAATCAATACAGAGATTAGGCAGTGAGAACATAAAAAGGCATATCTAATATCTTTACAATCAATACAGAGATTAGGCAGTGAGAACATAAAAAAGCATATCTAATATGTTTACAATCAATACAGCGATAAGGCAATGAGAACACAAAAAGGCATATCTGATATGTTTACAATCAATGGAGAGACGAGGCAGCCATCTCCATTCTTATTTACCATATAATATACATAAACAAAATATAAAATCAAAAGCCGGCTTTAAAGCTGTCGACCCACACACAGTAAATGAGCCACTATTTGCAGACGACCAGTGCCTATTCTACAATGTGACAAGTAGATTGCTAGACCATTTGAACAGGCTAAGTTTAACATGCAGAAGATATCACATGAAAATACATACTACTAAACCTGAAGTAATGCAGGTCAGTAGAATTCCTAGTTTGCTACATATCGGGTCGAATGGTATTTGTCTGAAGCAAGATGAAGAATTGAAATATCTAGGAAGTAAGACGGGAGAAGAGATCGGTAAAAAGAAACAAGATTCCCACGAGCCAGAGCACTTATATAGCAACTGACACCGTTATTAAGACATCCACACATAAATATGAGCGCCAAGAAGCAGATGATAAGCAGCATATTCATACCAACAATGTGCTACCAGTGTCAGACTTTGACATTATCAAAGGCTAACCTACGTAACATTAACATTTGTGAAGTGAGATTGCCGAGAAAAGTCGCTGGTTTAACCATCCAAAACAAAGTTATAAATTATATTATCAACAACACTATGCAGCAAATTCAATGAAAAACGGATGATAAAATGGTTTGGTCGTTTAGTAAGCATGCAGCCAGAACCACTACCAACGCAGGCGCTACACGTGTTTAAATCTGAAGTGAAAACAAGAGACCGCCATAGGAGAAATGGACTGATGACATAAACGAGCTTCTACATCAAGCAATGGATCGCAGAAGGTTTCTCCCCACAGAGCTTAACAACAAAAATCCAAATTGGTGAGGTTGATGATCAAGATATTTTCTATCTCTAAGTCTCTCTTTCCTCCCCTCTCTGTCTCCCGCTGCCTAACTATATTCAATGCTCCCAACTGCTACCGCCCTTTGGATCGGCCAAGCAAAACACCCCCCCCCCTCCTCCCTTTCAGTTAATCAAGGCAGTAACTGCTCCCTGGAAGTCCAAGTGCTCCCCGTCACAACAATTTGATCGGGGCAACCACCGAGTTCAGCTGTTACACCACTTATACATCTATTTACGTGAATTTTGAAGCTCGGGAATCCGGATGTCCTCTGACTTCTTGAAGTAAGGCAGGACGTGCTGATAGCTCCAGCCCTCGTCTTTGGTGTACTCAGCCCAGCGATCATAATCGTGTCGGGAAGCTCTCACGTACTGCATGGCATTGAGACTGCTGGAACCTCCAAGAACTTTACCCCTTGGCCAGTAGGATCGCTGTGGAAGGAAATAAAGCAACATAGACAATCGTTTGTTCGATACTGCTCAAAAAACATTCCGATAGATCAGTTTACAACTAATGAAGTAAATAAACACCAACATAAAGTTGGAACAATACAAGAAAGGCAATTAAATAAACGAAATAGCTGTTGTGCCAACAGTTATAAAACAAGGTAAATATTAAATTTGCACATCATAGACATAAGCTAACCTGGCACTTATATAGGAAACATGTGGACTGAGGAAAGGATGGCGTACGAGAAATATCGTTAGAGGAACGCTGAGGAGTGGGGCCAAACATGGGGGTGGGCGAGGGGGGAACGCCTACGTTGGTCACTACACTCATTAGGAAAACCTGTTTATGACTAAAATGTCCTTGGACTAGAACCCACATGGCCAAAGCAATAATGATAAAATAACCATATTATGCCACAGCGATAGTGTTATAGTACATATCTTTATATAGTACTCCATTTTACGCGGCGTCGTGGCTAAGGCGTTGCGAGTCCGACTCGTAATACGAACATACCGCGATCGAAACCCACTGCTGGCTGCGTGAATTTTTATCATGGTATGGGGCGTCGCAGGTCGACACAGACTAAAATGGGTACAAGGACGGGCTGTCCTGGGAAAGTAAAGACGGCCGGCGTAATGCTGACCACATAAACAACAGTGCTGATGGTCTGTAAAAATATGGGCGCTCTTTCCCATATGCCCGATACGCCTAAAGGTGTGAAAAGGGATCTTCACTTACTCCATTAAACAACCCGACATGTTTTAATCAGTTCAGCTGCAAACTCAATGTGACTCATAAATAAGACAACATGGTGATGATGACAATGATGATTCTTAATAGATATCAACAAGCCTGGACGTGAAATGTCCTGTTATCTAATTTCTTGAGAAGTTTATCACATGATAATGCCATCGGTAACATCTGTGCTCCAACTTAGATCAGCAACTTCCAATAATGAATGTTTCACTTTATCCACAACAGCTACTTGTTCTTACCCCTCCTTTGAGACCCGTCATGACGCCATTCTGGGGTTCTGACATGTACCACCAGTCGAAATCACTGCGGAGGTTGAGGAGAGCCAGGCCAGGGATGAACACTTGTGCCCGGTCCCCGTCAAACTCTCCGGCCTCCAGCAGCAGGACTGACACATCTGGGTCTTCTGACAGACGGCTTGCCACCACACTTCCGGCTGATCCTGCACCAACTGTTCAAAGATAAATAGAAAGATAGATATATTAGATAGATAAACAGACAGACAGACAGACAGACAGACAGACAGACAGACAGACAGACAGACAGACAGACAGACAGACAGACAGACAGACAGACAGACAGACAGACAGACAGACGGACAGACAGACGGACGGACGGACGGATAGACGGACGGACGGACGGACGGACGGACGGACGGACGGACGGACGGACGGACGGACGGACGGACGGAGGACAGACAGACAGACAGACAGACAGACAGACAGACAGACAGACAGACAGACAGACAGACAGACAGACAGACAGACAGACAGACAGACAGACAGACGGACGGACGGACGGACGGACGGACGGATAGACGATACGACGGATAGACGGACGGACGGACGGATAAACGGACGGACGGACGGACGGACGGACGGACGACGGACGGACGGACGGACGGACGGACGGATAGATGGATGGATGGATGGATGGATGGATGGATGGATGGATGGATGGATGGATGGATGGATGGATAGATAGATAGATAGATAGATAGATAGATAGATAGATAGATAGATAGATAGATAGATAGATAGATAGATAGATAGATAGATAGATAGATAGATAGATAGATAGATAGATAGATAGATAGATAGATAGATAGATAGATAGATAGATAGATAGATAGATAGATAGATAGATAGATAGATAGATAGATAGATAGATAGATAGATAGATAGATAGATAGATAGATAGATAGATGATTGGTATCATTCAGATTATGACTTGTAGTTCGTGCACGCAGTCTGACGAGGTGCTGCCTATGTTGTTATATCTTGTTATTGTTCAACTCACTATTTACACATGTTCATTGCCTAGACCATAAGTAATATTTCATGGTCCTTGTAACAGAAGAACCCCTGTATTTTCTTAATTCGTTCCTTTTTTTGATTTTTTTGCTGTTCGGCGGAGACCTACTTATTGTCCTACAAACTTTTTTTCGTCGCCCCCCTTGTACCGCTGCCCCTTTTTTCGCTTCACGCTAGCTCAAACAGATAGATAGATTTCGGAAGGTTCCGTGTGAGTTTATAAGTTGGAAGTTCTATGTACAAGCATATATAAAATATATAAAAACATACAGTAGAGACAAACACTGTTCTTTTGCCACATAATGAGAAGAGAGACATTGGAGAACATCGTGAAAAGATCAGTGGAAAAGGGGTAGAGGCAGACCAAGAGAGATGATGCTGGTATGGCTGAAACGATGGCATGGAGGGATATCATCAAGAAAGCTGTTCAATGCAACTAGGGAAAGTGATATGTGGAGACGTATGAGCACCTACCCAGTTGGCAGGGCACATGATGACGATATTAGATAAATTTAAGGGGGGGGGGGAAGGGTGTTGATATATTGTGTTTTTAAATTATGATTTACAGATATTTTTGTTTCACAAACAAGTTATTTAATTTTAAAATAGACTACACGTCAGTTAATTTTACCTAAAGTGTGTCTGCACTACGAACATCCACGCCTACCGTCAAAAATATAGGGAGAGACAGTGCAAAGCTATTTTAATATGTGTGTTTTCAGTGTGTGGGTGTGTGCTCGCGCGTGCGCGTGTGTGTGTGTGTGTGTGTGTGTGTTTGTGTGTGTGTGCAGGCATGATAAATGGGCTGCATGGCCGAATATGACGTCTATTTTATGTGGTGTTTTAAAAAAAAAGTGTAAGCGTAACACATTCGCTTTTTTCCTCTGCTTAACAGTTTTGGTAACGACCTAAGTTTTCTATTTACAAATGTGTCTTGAAAAGATGAGAGTCCTTGAAAGATATACTAGTGACCTAGAAATGTTCCAAGTGGGAGCAAGGCCAGATTCTTCGGTTATACCTGGCGTGAGGTGTTTGTATGTATGCTCTAAATACTAAATTACGCGCAGTGTTATTTATAGACTTGGACTGCTCTAACTTCTGTCTCACATCAACCAGCATGCAGTACAACATGTCGGCAACACTCGAGACTGTAAAAAGATGACGGCCATACTTTCCTCTAGCTCTCAGTAATATTTTAGCAAAAGGTGTGAAGTCTGTTTTACTTAACTTTAAAAAAAAAATTCAGTTTTTTTTTTAAACATGGCATTTAACTGGCATGTTATATCCTAATGTGGTGCACGATGTTTATCAGACGCGTTTTGCCTCACCACCAAGTACAGAATCTGTGTTACCTAGCAACATCATCCACTTATGCCCTTTAGTCTCACGTCCAAGTACAGAATTTGTGTTACCTCGTAACCTCATCCACTAATTCCCTTTTGTCTCAAGCCCAAGTACAGAATTTGTGTTACCTCGTAACCTCATCCACTTATTGCCCTTTTGTCTCACGTCCAAGTACAGAATCTGTGTTACCTAGCAACATCATCCACTTATTCCTTTTTGTCTCATGTCTAAGTACAGAATCTGTGTTACCTAGCAACCTCAACCACTAGTTCCCTTTTATCTCACGTATGAGTACAGAATCTGTGTAACTTACCGTTTCATCCACTTATTCCATGTAGCCCTAGTTATATTAGAACTCTAGTCTCACCGAATCATTAATGATACGTCATGAAGTCAAACTTCTAACACTTTGATGTAATGCATGAATTAACATATTCTTCTTGTTCTTCCTCTGGAAACAAGCCCACGAGGATTCTTGCTATAGATATTAATAGCCCCCTCCATTTATCTTTGTACATGGCTTCACTTTCCAGTTGGTGACTCCATGTATTCATTGATCTGCCGTATTTTATTATTTCTTTCGTTTTCCTTATCTGCCTTTTTGGTCTTCTCTTCTTCAAATCCTTGTTTGCTCAGTTTTTGTCTTTCTGTTATCTTTCATTATCTCTGTATGCCCCACTCATCACCCTCATCATTGCAAAGTAATTATAGATTATGCATTGTGTTGTATCTCATCACTATTAATCGTTAGCTGTCTTCATCTTGGATAGGCCAGAAATGTGTCGTAGTTCATTGAAGTTTGTAATAAAGCTTCATCTTTTTTGGTTATTCTCCAGATTTCAGAGCCGTATATGTCAACTGTCGGCTCTGTGGCTAAGTCGATGCGAACACTTCGCTTCGTAATGCCGGGATGCCAGGTTCAATCCCAGCTGTGGGCAATGCGCCTTGCGTTGGTTTCGACAGTGGTATCAAGAATGCCGACCGTCCAGTAAGCAATGGCAAACTACTGGACGTAAATTTGCCTAGAGAAACCACACAACAGCCAGAGGGCTGTTAGGGTTGGTTCTGCAACGTCCTGTAGAGGATACGCAACAACCTTTAAATATGTCAACTAATCTAAACTGCGGGGGAAAAAAAGTTAAAGCAGCTATTTTGCGAGACAAGAGCCGTAGTAGCGAAATGGGTATATACTTGCACGTCGGTTCAAAGGTCTTGGGTTGAAATCCACAAATGGAAGCGTTTTTGTAACTAGCTGCGGATATCAGGATGCCAGGACATTTCCGGGTAAGTAATACTGGTCCGATGCGATCGTGACCATGTCACATAACGAGAGCTGATTGGATGAGTCGGCCGAAAGGAGCAAATACTGTAATCATGTTGTCAAGTGGTACAATGCACTTACGTCGTCAAATGAACGAAGAAACAGATTCACATGATTAAAATTCAGCCACTTCAAATACTGGGAGTAGCTTTAGTGTCGCGGCTAGACGCTTGCCTGCGGTTCAAAGGGTCGTGGGTTCGGGTCCTGGCGGAGGCGGATTTATTTATTTTATTCAAATGACCCTGGCTTCTAGATCGACCCAGCCTTGAGTGGGTACCAGGTAGTGTCCTGAGAAGCAAAGGTGTTTGGCGTGATATGAATGTAACATTATGTATGGGAATCCCTATATGTTCCGAAGGTTCAGTGATTCGTAGATCGTGCGTTACAACTCATATAACATAAACAAAACAGACTACGGATTGATGACATTCTAAATCGACAGAGAATTACAATATTCACAGATACTCATCGAGCAGTAGATCGTAAACCGTTCCTCTCCCAGGACGTTTACTGACAAAATCTAAATTGCCCCCCAGGGGGGGGGATAATGATGGGGGGGGGGGGGTAGCCGTTCTAAAAAGAACGGTTACGTAGCCGGGGTAGGCTATTGCGCAGGAAAAATGGGCGGGACTGCTGAGGTGTCTGGGTGTTGTTTGGCTTGGCGTGTAGCTGTTGATTTCCTTGTTTCCCGCAAGATGGTGGCTTGACCAGGTCGTTTCGGGTGGGAGTAAGTGGGCCGTCGTCGTCGCGTTCAGACAATTGGCCATATTTATGGCCTGCCTATATTGGGGCTTCAAAAAATTTCGTCGTAAAAAGGACGAAACATTTATTGCTAGGTATAGCCAGCTGATCAGTTGTTTGCTGCGTGAGTCAAGCTCCTTTCGTACAATAGCTAGAAATACGAAATGGGCTATACTTGGTAAACGGAACTAGATCAACAATGTTGACAGAATGTGTTGGTGTTGAGTGTTGGACAATGACAGCAGCTGTTATGTATCAGCTGTGTGTACGTTTGGTTGGTGTCATCTCTGATCCTGTAATCCCAGTTGCCAAGTGCCGGGGGAAAAGAATGCCTTAATAATTTCTAAGTCAGAGATACGCCATGGCGGCAGCAGGTGTTTCACATAAGGACTTTGATAGCAGATGAAGACGATCTGCAGTGTTTAGTGGATGTTGTAGTAGTTCATAGTGAGAAACTTAGGCTTAACATTATTTTGCAAGAAAACGGAAATTGTGGTAATGACCAAGAAAAAAGAAATACCAAATTGTGAAATACACGCAATCGGGGAAATTCTTAAGCAAGATTAAAGATACAACTATTTAGGAACAGTGATCAATCTGATGCAAAAGATGCCTTGCAGAAATTATAACAAGAATCAACATGACAAAGGTGGCCTTATTGTAAGATATACAAAATGTTCATAAACAAGAACGATATGCAGTGTAAAATAGTTCAGTTTAACAGTACGGCTCTAAACATACACACTGTAAGGTATGTTGTCCTCTGTGTGCTTTAGTACCCAGCCAGTTCATTGCACTAGGCAAGCGACATTGTTTAACATGTCATGTAGCAAGGGCGGATCCCTCAACTTCAGTAATGTAAACATGTGTTGCATCGCAATTCTGAATACACTTCGTTTGACTAGGGCAGTTGTTGATTCGACTATTTGTACTTTCAAACAGTCAGTGAGTAAAACTCATAAGAACAATAAGCACATTGATCCCTTGAGTCGAAATGATTATATACTTGGTTGAGATAATACTGGAAGATACTAGATACCAAGTAAAAAAAGTATCTATAGCAAATGAGAAGCATCTAAAGTAACAACCTGTATAGATATTAGAGCAAATATTTTTAACTGTCTCAGACCGGAGAATTAAAGCAATAAAATGTATGGGGTGGGTGTAACAACTGTCTTGGCCAGAAGGTGAAGTGTCAGTTCTAATATGACGATGAACGGCTGTCTGGGATATCATCGGCTAAGGTAAACATTCCAGATATTGGCAATTATAATAATCCAGATAATCTGAAACAGAATGCGATCTAAAGTCATTTTGATAGTGATTATAACAACGTAGACTGAACAAATGAAAATAATGTAAATGGAGTGATTTGATCACAGCAGACAAGGACGGTATGGATAGAATGGATTTCACAACTGAGACAGACATCGGTAAAGTAACAACCGGAGCTGTACCTGATGAGGCAATAGAATTAAGTAACAATCGGATAGAGTGGCTGTTACAATAGAAATAAAAGATTTAAGGAACATTTGGATAGACTCACAGTAAGAGCTGAGACAATAGATTAAAGTATCTGTTGGCTATATTGGCTTTAACAAATGAGATGAGAGATTAAGTATCAATCGGATAAAGTGTCTATAACAATAGAGACATCGGTTTAAGTAATACTTTAATGGATTTGCAATAAGAACTGAGACAAGAGATTAAAGTATCAATTAGGTAGAGTGAGTGTAATAATTTGCACAAGGAAATAAAGTAACAATTGGATTATAACTGTAATCACTGAGAAGAGATTAAAATAATATTAGTGGCTTAACAGTAGCAACAACAGATTAAAGTAGCGATTTGCTGTAACAATTGAGACAAGAGATGAAAGTAACGATTTGCTATAGCAATTGAGACAAGATATTTAAAAACGGATACAGTGGCTGTACAGTTTACCCAAAGAGAAAAAAAGTCTTGTGAGATGCAATTTTTCGTTATTTTGAAGCCCCAACCTGGCTGTTGCCGGGGACCCTAACATAACCTAACGGTTAAACGTGATTTTCAGGACTTTTCCACGGGCAGTCGTCATTCGCATTGTGGCACTTTGTGTCAAAGGGTGTTTATCGCTCTGTGTGATGTCTTGGTGGGGTAAAACTTACCTACCTGTACAGTTAAGAAAATGGATTACAGTAAAAACTGGATATAGTGGCTGTAACAGTGGCGCAGGGAATTAAAACTAAGTATGTCATTACAGTGGAGGGAAGAAAACTCGAAGAAAAAGCTCAGGTAACAATTTAGACTGAATGGGTGAAACAACTTTCTGGAACAGATGGACTTAAAACAGCATATGGTGTGCGGAGCATCAAGCGAACTTGGCACAAATACTGAGTTAGTTTTAGTTCAATATGTCTTCTCGAAATACTGAGGAGTAGACAGCCTCAACATACACAGACACACACACACATATACACACTTGTCTACGCAGGCATACATTTGGAGCTCTATAAACATGGTCTTTGCAGGACTTTAACAGGGTATTCATTTAGGTAAAGGTGCAGTGCACTATTCTGTATTATTTACGATGTTTCGAATGTGTGTATACAGAAATCTTCTTTTACTTCTTCTGAGAGTAGATGGTTTGGTTTCGTCAACCAGTTGGTCGATCTAGCTTACCACAGCCAGCAATGCTTACTTAATTGATTAGGCGATGATAGGCAGCTGGCGATGAAGTAATGTGGCATCTTCCCCACGGAGTACACAACCCAGCTCCGGGAAATTGAGGATGCCTTGGATGACAGCAGTGGGGATGCCTGGGCTATGTCAAATGGACCCAATTTGCATGCAGTCTTGCCTACGAGCAGTCCTCCTGCAGACCCGCACTGACCACGGAATCCTCGACAAAGAGCTCATAGTTCTGGCGGATCTGTACTGTGAGATTATTGCTAGCAAGTTCGAGGCCACTAGCAACTTCTAAAAGGCTCTATGTACTTATAATAAGGGAATAGAAACTGAAGAAGGTCTACGAGAAAGTAAGACACAGATCCAGATAGGTAGGTAGTTGTACCCCATCAGGACATCACACAAGCTATAAACACCCGGTGACACAAAGTGCCACAATGCGGATGAGGATCACAAGTGAAGAGGTCCCAGAAACCGCTTTCAGCCGCTAGGCCATATCTATGTCTAGGTCATATTTATGGCCCGGCTATATTCAGGGCCCTGGCAGAAGCCAGGGTGGGACTTCAAAAATAACCAACAGTTGCATTTCACGTGGGACAACTTCTTATAAAGGAGATACAAATCCAATTGGGAGAATGTTTTTCTTGCTGCAAGAGTTGTCATGTTTGTGGTTTGTTCACATGAAGTGGGGAAATCTGTTACCAAACAGCTGCCCGGCCTCTACACGAGCAGACCAAGTCTAATAATTATAGATGTGACGGATTTAAGCAAACTCCTTCCTTGCTACATTTTAAGTTAAGACATCAACCCGGCCCACTGCAGGCTGCGAGTCACTTTCTGATCGTAAGGGTGCCTCAATTCAACTGGGGTACATGCTGAGTGTTCACCGGCGATTGGCTCCTATTTGATTCTCATCTGTGAGATATTAATCCTACAGAAAGCATCCTGGAACTAAACAATCCACAGCAGTCGCCTTTTACGACATGATAGTTATAAATCCGAGCGTCCATTCTTCTTTGCCCTAAAATAAGGCACAGGAAACAAGACATGAATGTGACGAAATGATACACGACACGTCAGATGCACAAAATCCTTTGGGGAACAGACGGCCAACACAGAAGAGCGAATATTTAACACCGGTTTAGAAGTATGATCTTGATGGGAGTTTACAGAGCCTCTGAAAAACGCTGTTCTGAGAGGAAAAGCAGATGAGGATATAATCAGATGATAATGAATAACCACTATTACTAAGGGAACTATGCTGTAGCTGCTAAGTATTAGAACATTGTGTTAATGAGAATGCCCTGAGTGCTCTGTTGGCAGTTAATCCATAATCGTATATAATAACATCGTGGCACAAGGGTAGTAACCCATAAGTGCTCCGTTTTACTTCTAACACAAGTCTGAGTCTGAATATTTTCAGCGCAGTGCACGAACTACGTAGCACCGTCGAGGATGCTTAAAAACTTTGGGTAGAATTTTAACTAAATATTTTGCCCCGTCAGCGCTGTTAAGCTGCTCTTTACGATTTCAAACTGCCAGGGATTTTTTTTTAGGTGTACAGTAATACACACGAGCGTCGGATCTTACTACCCAGAGACCAGGGGGAAATACTAAAAGCACGTGAAAAAATCCTAGCCTTTACTGGGATCTGAACCGGGGATCTTCAGCACTCGAGGCAGACGCCATGCCTCGAGACCACGCAGCCCCAAATCTTATGTACATCGCAGTCTGTAGCCTCCGAGGTAAAAGCATTGAGTGCCTTTGACACAACAGGCACATAAATTACGGTTAAAATGTCCAGGAGGTGCACTTTTGTGTGCGTGTATATGTGTATTTTTATGTAGTTGCGTGCGTGCTTGTGTGTATGGTGTGTATGACAACATACGAATGTAAGCTATTGGCTATTTAAGTAACTAAAGAAGAACATTGCTGCTTTTCAGCTTAAATGTTACGGAACAATTCTTAGAATATTATGAGTGAATAGAAGGTCAACTACTGCAACTAATGCAAGATCTAAACATAGAAGAAAACACCCTTTTTTTTTTTTTTTGTAAATAAAATTATACTGGAAATATTAAAGGCCAAGGTTTTCTGGGATAAACGGTGCTGGCACAGTTTCTGAAAGAAAACGGACAGACTGACTAGCGCAAAAGTGAACGCAGGGCATTAGAGATAACTGGGGCGGTAATTTGCTTACAGATGGTGAACTTTTAATGAGGAGACGTTCTGTAAAGGGCGTGATATAGTTACTGATCAAGAGTAGGGAATCAGATTCTAGGAGTCACTTGTTAGTTTATCGTTGAGGAGAGAAGATTCTGCTGTCAAATGTAATGAATGGTAGGCTGCTGTAAGGCTGGAGTGTGTGTAGTGTGAGTAGCGACAGAGCTCACTCTGATTATAACTTGGTATGTCGGCTCTGTGGCTAAGTCGATGCGAACACTTCGCTTCGTAATGCCGGGATGCCAGGTTCGATCCTAGCTGCGGGCAATGCGCCTTGCGTTGGTTTCAACAGTGGTATCAAGAATGCCGACCGTCCAGAGGCAATGGTAAACTACTGGACGTAAATTTGCCTAGAGAAACCACACAACAGCCAGGGGCTGTTAGGGTTGGTTCTGCAACGTCCTGTAGAGGATACGCAACAACCTTTTTATAGCATATTGTGTATCATGTAGTGTTCTGAGGGGATCTTGTTTGTTTAAAAAGAGATAAACCACTTTATAATTCTTTTCCTTATGAAACATTATTGCTTGTTGTTATTCTCATATTACATCGTTAGTTAGCTGAGTATAGGTGTTGTATCACTGTTGGTTGTTGTAGTCTTTATACTACTTTGCTATACTGATACTACATAACACTCGTTTAAACCTCCAGTGGCTATTTCCTGAAGACCTAATACTATACTACCCACATAGTAGAACCTTTTGTCTTCTCACTAATCCTTTAACTATTATTCTTCTCGTCTGTCTATCTCCTCTCTGTCTCCCTTTCAAATGTAAAACCCCACTCTGTTACATTTTGTCCAACTTGTTACTTGCCGATATCGTCCAGAAAAACACACCAGGTGCCACAATTCCAGACTTCATGAGAAAAGAATAACTGTATCCAGTAGAGAAAAAATATATTCCGAATTTGTGTTTGTGTATTCAATCCTGCATATAACACTATGTGTCACTATCATCTGAACAGACGGAAAATGCAGCCAACGGCAGTTCACGAACAAAAGGTCAAATGTCACTTACCTACAATGTAGTCGTAGCTGGCATTAAACTGTTCCGCTAGGCGTGGAGGCGTAGGTGAGTCCGCGAAAAAGAAGTACCGAAGTGCAATGGCTGCCAGAGCAACAAGTCCGATGTTAACTGGGGTAGACATTCTGAGGCTATGTCCACCAGATGGTCGTCGAGAAAGGCAGAAACAGATCGGCTACGGAGTTTGACATGTACTGACTATAAAATCTGGCCTCAATATCCACTCCGCTGTTGAAAGTGTGGTGCAGATGTGAGCCAGTCACTTGTGCCGCTGCAGTTTTATCGCAGACTGGTGGTGCATCGAAGCTTGCACTCTTGTTTCGCGAGGTCACAGCATTTGTACACTATACCTGTTTGTGACTTAGCTGCGCTAGACGCGAGTCGGTGCACTTTACAGC